CTCCCAAGTGCTAGCATTACAGGCATGAGCCATCACACCCAGTTTAAAGTTTAATCTAAAATTATAAATTTATCTAAAAATTTTACATTAAAACTCTGGCCAGACCTATTAGAATTATTTATAGTACTGCTTTATTTAAAAAGGAATATGGAATAGGAAGCCTCTTAAATACCCTATGGGAATGATGTGATAAATTACATGAATGTGCAAGAGAAAGACAAGCACTTCTGGGACAGCACTGCATTTTAATAAATCTAAACTAGTGAGTGTGGATAGGAGAAAATTAAACAAAATAGCTCTGGATTAAGTTCACTTAGGGCTGTGCAGAATTTTTTGATACTTCTGTCTAGTGACTCTTCAGAAATAAGTCCTGGTCCATAGTCTTTCCAAATTTGTTTTTCATCAAAACTGGTATACCAGAAGACACATTTTGAAAAATGAAAAATACTTTTCAAAATTCCAGATAGAATACTGGCTATAGTTATCCAGGGATCTCTTAATTTCTTCAAACTCATTTGCCTAAAGGTGCTTCCAGGTTCATGAATTGAGAGATATATAACTTTTTCACAAGGGCAGTTTATTGTTCTTTTGCTCAGATCAAAAGTAAGGTCATATTGTAGCACTTTTGTATTCAAAATGTTTGAAAACTTAGATGTGTCAACAGTCTGCAGTGTTCCTTATGCTTCTGTAAACAGGCTTGCTAACCACGAGACATACCAGAGATACAAGCTGTGCCCACTCTATTTCTGTTTCCAGTTTGTTCCCATGTAAAGTTCCACTGGCTCACAAAAGTCTCCCATTCTACCTGATAAATGGTATAAAAGTAACATCCTATTCTATATCGGGTCTCAGACTTTGGAGTACACAGCTCCTTTGGGTCCACGACATAATAAGGCTTGGTTCCCTCTACTTCTCTGAGTGCTGCTTGGTTTTTTCACCTCTGGTGAACTTAAAATTGTTATAACAATATATGACTTTTTTGCAAACCTTACATTCAATATGAACATTTGTCAGCAAATCTAGCTAGATCTAATTTCAAAATATAGTCTATGCTTGACTTTCTCAGTACCCTGGATTCTGAGCTTGTATTAGTTCTTTATTGCTAACAAAACACCTCAAAACTTAGTGGTTTAAAACCACAATAGGGGAGTGGAAGAGGAAATAAAAATAATTAAAATGCGTTACTTACATGCATCAATTCCTCATGATGAATGAATATGATCATTACGTACTGTAAACATGTACAAAAAAATAAAATAAAATAATGCATAAATAAAAATAAAATAAATAAAGAAAATAATAAAATTTTTAAAATAGCATGGGCTATCTCTCACAGTTTCTGTGAGTCAGAAGCTGGAGCACTTTGGCAGAGGAGTTCTAGTTCAGGGTCTTTTAAGAAATTGCAGTCAAGATATGGCCAGGGCTGGGGTGACCTGGAGGGCTGCCTGATGTTGGAGCTAAACGATCTTCTTCCGAGGTCACTCAGGCACGTGGTTGGAATGTACAGTGCACAGTGATCCTTTTCAGAGGGCTTTCTGAGCATTCACCCGATCCTTATCCACATAAGTGGCTGACATCTTTGCCTTGAAGGAATAATTCAAGAAGCTGAGACGGAAACTGCTGTCTTATATGACCTAGATTAGGAAATTATATCTTTTCACGTTCCTATCACTGGGGAAAAATACCTTCTATATACACCTTAAAGGAGAAGAGCTTTATTTGGCTTCCAGTTTCCAGTTTCTATCATGGTTGAGTGGCTGGAAGGAATGATGAAACATGGCAGAGGGAAGCTGCTCAATCTTTGGTAGCTAAAAAAGCAGAAGGAGGGACCAGGGACAAGAATAAACCTTTATAGGTCAGCTCCCGGTAACCGACCTCCTCCAGTCACTGTGTGAGTCCACTGAGGGGTACAGAGCGCCATGATCTTATCCCATATATTTTTTTTTTATCTTTTTCCTTTTTTATCGGTACCGGGGATCAAACTCACGACTGCCTGCTTGCAAGGCAGGCGCTTATGCCGCTGAGCTAAATCCCCAGCCCCTCTAATCCCATATTTGAACATATGACACTTTGGGGGAACGTTTTAGAACTAAACCACAATACGATTGGTCTTAGTGAAATAGAATGTGAGTACCAAAGGAGAGGGTGGCTAGGAGGCATCTTGTGCTGGCTCCTTCACTGTTACCTCCCATCTGGTTGTACCATTGCTCCTTAACTGACATCCTGTTTCTGCCTTCCTGGTGTCTATTTTCTTTTTGTTTTTAATTTTATTTAAAAGGAAAAAGAGAAAAAACAAAACAAAACAAAGCGGTGTAAGGGTACAAGTAATACAGAACTACAAAAAAAAAAAAAAAAAAAAAAAAAACCAGTAAGAAATCACCAGTTAATAGATTACACATTATCATCTTAGAGATAGTTGTTCAAGTCACAGTATCAAAGCATACAAAGTGCACATTCAAACAGTGAGACTGCAAACAGTTGTGTTCAGTGATCCAACCAAAAACATTAATATGGTCATCTATTTAACACCCCTAAACACACTTGCAGTTGTATCCTTTAGAGCACTTGTTTCCCTCTCTTTTTTACAACAAAATTTACACATTTTGGGTTTTATTACTCCTTATTTCTTATTACTTTTTTTTTGGAAGAGAATAAAGTCAAATATGGCAAAACAAAGCTGTCAGTCAAAACCAATGATAGACATAGCACATGATGTAAAAACAGAGTACAAGGTTATCAACAATGGTTACCATAATGCCTCTTGCTTCCTTAAAAAGAATTGTCTATCTCATTAGGTATTATAAAGTTGAACAACACAGTAAAGAACAAGACCAATAAAACCTAAACCTTATAAACATTACAGGACTTCCAAAGAAGATAATAGTCAAACCAGAATGGGCATCATAGTGAACCTTATTGCCTTCAAAGTAGTTGCCTATACCCTCAAACTTGATACTATCATACAGAAAGGAACAGAGTCTAATCAGTCAAAACAAGATAGTGGGAGTATTACAGGACTTCAAATCAAGTTAATAGGAAATCAAAAAAGTTACTATAATATATCCTGCTAATTTTTTTATTTTTCCCTTAATTAAAAAATCATAAAAAATAACTTAATAATTTTTTAATGAATAAGGGAGAGATTGAGATAAAAGAGGACATAACAACATAACAATACAGGTCAACGCATGACAGTTTCAGCAACCTAGTGCTTCACTACCAAATAACCCGACTTAATAGTAGTTACCATAGTGTCTTTTTCCTTGAAATAATTGAATATAACTTAGCATCAAACATATCAAGTCAGTGTAAAACCATTCAAGTGGATGAAAGCATTGTAGGGTATTTAGAACCAGCTACCAGAAAATGAACAATGGTTTCTATATTATCTCTTTGCCTATAACAATTTTTGTTTATACTATCACATATAATAAAATCCAGCAAGATACATCATGATAAAACCAATAGAGACAGAAGAGCCATAGTTTGGTGGGGCTTCAAAACAAGATGATAGTAAATCAGTACTAGCTATTATGATGACTTATCTTCTTCAAAATAGCTGTTCATTTCATCACAGGCCATAATATCAAGCAGCCCAGAATAAAGCTGTTCCAATTAATAAGTGAAAACTTTACAAGGCTTCAAGGTCACATAATGGGGAATCATGATCACCACATACTTTTATATATTTGAATCATTACTTACTTTAGGGAAACTATTCAGTATTCACAAATGCAAGATTGATTTATTTCACTAATGAGTATGGTCTCAAGCTGCGCCCATTTATTGATAAATATCTCAACATGATCCTTCTTTATAGCTGAGCAATACTCCATTGTATAGAAATACCACAACTTTTTTATCCATTCCTCAGTTGATGGACACTTGGGTTGTTTCCAAGATCTGGCGATTACAAATTGTGCTGCTATAAACATAGGTGCATATATATCACTGTGGTATGATGCTTTCAGTTCTTCTGGGAATATGCCTAGAAGTGGAATAGCTGGAACAAATGGGACTTCCAAACCCAGATTTTTGAGAAATCTCCAGACTGACCTCCACAAAGGTTGTACCAGTCTACACTCCCACCAACAGTGTAGGAAAGTTCCTTTTTCCCCACAGCCTCTCCAGCATTTGTTGTTGTTGGTTTTCTTGATCCTGGTCATTCTTTCAGGAGTGAGATGGAATCTCAGTGTGGTTTTAATTTGCATTTCTCTAATGACCAATGATGACGAACATTTTTTCATGTATTTATTTGCCATTTGTATTTCTTCATCTGAGAAGTGCGTATTCATCTCCTGGCGTCTATTTTCAATACAGCAACAATAAATTTCTTACCATATCATATTGCTTACCTATTGAAAGCCATAAAACAGCCTCCAATAGCCAGAGAAAAGCCGGAGTTTGCCATGGCCAAGACCTTTCATCATTTGGTCCCTATCACTTAAGTGATTTTCTTTCATTTTCTTTTTATTTGCTTTATTTAGCACAAATACTACATCTCTCAAATGCACTAAGCAGATTTTTGCCCCAAGGTCCTTATACTGGCTCTTTCCTATCTGCCTGGAGTTGTTTTTCAGTAACTTGTTCATTTAGATCTCTGTTCCAAAGTGAGACAGGACTTTTATGATAATCACAAATAAAATAAGTGACATAAAATTGCATTCCTGTCGTTTCCTTCTTTATAGTACTTACCAGTTATAACTTACTTTCCTCCACTAGAATGTAAACTCTACAAGAGCAAGGAACTTTAGTTTTTGCTCTTGTTTGCTCTTGAAGCTTTGTCATGAGTGACACAGACTGACACATTTAAGTCTTCCCACAGTGTCAGAACTTATTGACTGTTAATAAATTCACAAGCTGCATCATTTTCAACAGCATTACATCACGGAGCACTTCTAACCAGCTGGTAGTTGTGACCATGGCAATTGCAACTTCTTTATTCCATTTCTTTTTCTCTTTGTTTCTTTTTTTTAAGTACAGAGGATTAAACTCATGGCTTTGCACATGCTAGGAAAGAGCTTTATTATCACCTAGCTACATCTCCAGGGAGCCCCATTCCAATCTTAATCACTACTATCTAAGACACTCAAATCACATCATGCTTCAAAAGGTCTATTCTATTACAGAGAGGCTAAGAAATGGCCAAGATAGCCATAGGACGTAGACATATGGTACAGAGAGCAAAAGTAAAGAGTCAGTACTATAGGAATGTGACTACAGGTGGTCAGATAAAGGGTTACCAGAGCTATCAAGGTGAAAGAATCTGGATGATTTTTAAAGTGGACAGCATTAAAGAGTAAGGAAATCTACACTGAGCTGATTTCCAGAATCAGAGTCAGAAACTTGTCACCATGGTGACCTGCTGGGCAGAGGCTCTGAAGTGTGGTCTGTAACAGGTGATGCTATTGCTATGTTACTAGCCACTTAGGTTCTTAGCTCAGATTCCTTTGCTTTTTGCTGACCAAAACAAGGGAGGCCATATATTTTAAGACAAAGGATGTATTTAAAGTTAGGTTCAAGAGTTAGAGGGGTCTATTTGCCTTATCATCTCACTGTGTAGGGCAAGGGGCTTTTATTGTGAAGGACGAGGGGAGGGGAAGCACAGAGAGACAATGAAGGTCTCCAATTTGCTTTACCGCACTTCCTTTCTCCCATTTCTTGTGAAAAGGAAACTAGACTCCAGGCCTCCTTCTGTCACATTCTGTCACTTCTGTGGGGCTGAGGAGAGGAGAAGGTGTGGTTACATGGTTAGCAAGGCCAAGTTTGGAGAAATAGTCCATCTCTAAAAGAAACAAAATCTAACTTTTAAATTTCCATTTTGCAGGGATGGTTGCACTTTGTGGCAGTCTTTTAGATGTCCCTGGTGAGGGAGGTGCATCTTTCTTTGGTCTGTCTGATAAGTTTATGTGCCTGGTGTCCTTGATGTGGTCCAATAGGTCCAAGTGTCTATGTGCCCCTGGTTTAATTCAGCAAGTTCACAGGTAGTAATTTTTTTATTGACATGAATGGGTTATTTATGCTATTGTACCTTATAACTGTGCTGTGTGTCAATGATGATTGGTCTTCTTAGTAAGTTCTATGTGTCCAGCATCTGGTGGTTGCCTACTTGCACTCACAAGATGGGAAGTCATTTGTCCTTAGAACTGAACTCCCAGGGGCTGGAGATTTAGCTCAGTGGCATAAGCACCTGCCTTGCAAGCAGGCGGTCATGAGTTTGATCCCTGGTACCGATAAAAAAAAAAAAGAATTGCACTCACAATGGAATAACTTAGGGCAAACTGCTGCAAGGTCTTCCATAGTGTCTGGTACATTAGAGACACTCAGTAAATCCTCACTGAATGACTGAACATGTGAGTTCATCAAAAGTAGCTGTTAGTCCCCAGTCTTACCTGCATAAGTGCCTTGCTGACACTGAATTACAAATAGAAGTGAAAACCAAAGGTAGGGAAGAGGAAATAGGAAATGAGTAGGCATGTAGTTATTAGTAAGTGTGTAAGAAAGAAAGAGAGACGGAGGCAAATCAAGGACAAAGGTATGATGTGAAATAGACTTCTGATTTGTAAGTTTATGACATCGTTTTAAAAAGAACAAATTTATTTGAAAAAGAATATTATGTGTAAAACTTATGTAAACCTTGAGAAAAGAATGGTTCATGCATGCGTTAAAAGGAACATTCAGCAGATTAGAACTATAAAAGACTAAGAAAAGATACACTGATGTTAAACAGCTATAGTGGAAATTTATTGGGGCACGCCCTCCGCATGGGATGGATGTTCCGAGGGAGCACAGGCTGGCTGGACAGGATCTTCTGGATCTTTTCCAGGCACTTCTGGTTTGCTGCTATCCCTGCTTCAAACTCTCGGCGAGTCTCTTCCTTCTCTGCCTCTCGGGCTTGCTGCTGGTGAGCTATTTGCATCTGAAGCTGCTTCCTGTACTCCTGAGCTAGACTACAGCGTCTAAAGCATTAGAAACGTTAAATAAAAAATTATAAACGTAAGTATATGAATTTATTTAGAACATTACAATTAAGATCTAACTTGTGAAACCAAATTAAGATTTCCAGTAAAATCAGAATAAGTGCTTGTATGTCTAAAAATTTTCACAGTGAATCGTTTGGAAAGCCAGGCATGGTGATGCATGTCTGTAATCACAGCTCCTCACTGGAATTATAGGCTGAGGCAGAAGGTTTGTTAAATTCAAGGTCGACCCAGGCAATTTACTGAGATTCTGTTTTGAAACAAAATTTTAAAAAGGCTGAAGATGTAGCTCATGACTCAAGGGGTTAATACTCAATACTAGGAAAAAGAAAATGAGGGAGAGTGGCAAACACCAGAAGAAAAACTCAATAATGGGTTTCCACAGGCATGCCACTTTAGCTATTCCTTTGTCCTGTCAGCAGCTGGGCTGCTGTTCTCTTTTCTGCTCAGAATCTAAACAGGGGAGGCCTGCAGTGGTCTGGCACTGCTGCCGACAGGTTGGGTTATTCACCACTCTGTTCAGTGTTAACTCGGTAAGTTTTTGGCTTAAACAATATAAGCTACAATTTTACTATAAAATGATACAATTAAAAATCTCTGAGACAGTTTTTATTGCAGTAAAAAAATCATAACAATATTTACCACCTTAACTGTCTTAAGGGTACAGTCCAGTAATCAAGTATATTGATATGGTTATAAAAAAGATCTCCAAAATGTTTCCACCATGCAAATATGAAACATCATAAACGTTAAGCTCCAACTCAATTTTCCCCTCTTCCCTCAGCTTCTGATAACCACGTTCTACTTAATGTTGGATTAGACATCTCAGAAAGGTAGAGCCATGCAGTATTCGTGTTTTTGTGAGTGGCTTGCCTATTATAGCATTTTCCTTTCTTTTAAAGTCTATGTTATAGTCCATTGTATTGCATAAGAAAAATTTTTGAGATGTGCCAAATTTACTTACAAGGGCCCAAGGATGGAGGAGGAGAGAGATAAGAAAAGTCAAACTGTTAGAAGCCGTGGACCAAACCAACAAAAGAGTATTTCAACATTCCCCAGTGATGAAACCGTAAATCCTATCGTGACCCTGTAAGTCACACTCAAGACCTGGTCCTTCTTCTAGATACCATCTGTAATATATCAATTACTGCTTTTATTTCAGAGATCTCTTGATCTCTAAAATTTTATACGTGCAACATTTTGTTTAGCTTTTCATTTGCTGATGGATATTTGAGTTTCTTCTACTTAATAATGCAGACAATGCTACTGTGAATATGGATGTGTAAATACTTCCTTGAGTCCTTGCTCTCAATTCCTTTGGAATACCAGATATGGGATTGCTGGATCACGTGACAGTTCTACTTTTAATCTTTTTAAAAAGGAAACTCCATACTGTTTTCCATCGAGGCTGCATCATTTCACAACAATAAATCACATTTTTAATACTAGCTGTGGCATAAGAAGAATTTTATTTGGCTTTTGTTCCCAGTTCCTGATACAGAGCTCCTAAAACCCTTGGAATTTCCCAAGGACCAGGAGTTTCTTATGTTATTCCTAAGAGCACCTTCGTCAAGGGGACTTGGGGGAGACCCCTAGAAAACCTTAGGATGGAGCTGTCAGTAACACATTAATTATCGCACATTGTTCTCTGTGTTAAAAATCTGGTGGTATAAATTTGGGGATATAAATGATAACTAAAATGTAATTGTACCTTGCAAAATTCTCCTCCTCTTGACGGTTAAGTTCTTTAAGACCTTCATTTATGCGTTCCTGTTCCATAGCACGTTCTTCCCGTTCTTTGGTTTTCCGTTGTACTGAGGAAGGCAAAAGGAATATTTGTCAAGGTCTTTTCTTAAGACCTGCTCATATTTTTCTGAGTAGCAAAGTCATAATGTCTTCAAGAAGGCGGAACTTGGAGTGACTGGGCTGGACCTTGGGTCAAGAAGGGAGAAGCAGTCCTCTCCAGGAAGTAAAGAATAGGCTTGGCATAACACACGCACGATCCACACTGACTTCCTCCTGACCAATGTTTCTTATTAAAAGAGATTATAAAATAAATATTTTACAATAGAAAAAATCTTGTAAATTGATAAAAAAATGTAGGCATCCCAATAGAAAAATAAGACAAAGAAAACAAAGAATATTCACAAAAAGGATAAATGCAATCAACCACATATTCCTAATCTGTGAAGGAAAATTTATACCTAGTAGAAATACTCAGAGTTGTGAATTAAAGAATTCTTGGGTGGTGGAGTTATGTTTGATTTCATTTCTTTGTTTATAAATTATTGTAGTCATGGGTTGGGAGGAGAACAATTACAATCAGGACACAGAATTTATAATATTATTTTATGATATCACCCAGAGTTAAAACAAGAAAGTGTAGGAAATCTATCCACAACACTAGAGACCCAAACAGAATATTCAGCCAATGGCCTGGATCCTACAGCAATGTCCTGCGTGAGTCCAGCTGAAGACCTTGAGCCCATGACAATGCCTCCCACAAGTCCAACTAGAGGTCTAGAACCACAAGGACTCACGCCAGTCTCTATTATGGGTCTGCTGGGAATGGCTAGGTGGAAGCCAGAAAGTCTGTGCCAGTGAATAAAGAAGCTGTGCTGGTAGGTTGTGGGTTCTACACTGGAGCTGAGAAGTCACACTCAAAATAAGGACCAGGGCTGCCTTGAAAAGTACCACAGACATCCTTAGCAACAAGGAGGTCTTGAGCTCCTCCAATGATGAGAACAGTCAAGTTCTCAAATTTGAACACAGGAAGCCAGCATGACAAGTTTCTCCTGGAGATTAGACAGCACACATCTTCTCCTTTGGAGCCAGGAAGTGATGCTCAATGTAAGGACCAGAGCTTCCCCAAGGTGAACCATAGCCACCCTCAACGACAAGGACCTGAACTCCTCTGATGATAATGGCCGAATTCATATCAGGGAAGCTAGCATGACAAGCTCCTCCAGAAGAACCAGAGGCTTAAAACAGCAACACTTAGGAGAACCCGCAGCACCGAGCTCTTGTTTTCCACATCTGTATTTATGCTGGCAACTTTCCTCTGGTGGGCCATCTACACTTAGCACTGTGTTGATTTAATTCAGCTGGTGTTAAATTGACCACTAGGTTTTTAAATCCATAACATACATGATACAAAAATTCAAATTTTTCATGTTTTCCACTGAGTTCAAATTATCATTGATGAATACAAAAATCTTGTCTGTAAACTCTTATCATTTTCTAAAAAGTTCCATTTAATACTGGCTTAACAATTTTTGAATGCTGTGATAATTCCTGGAGTGGAGAATTAATCACTAGAACCAAGACTAGTTATAGGAATGTACTGTTACCCTATAATTAAATGTGTCTATATATTACATCTCTAGCATGTGACAGAAATCTGAAGGTAGCAGTTAACTCTCTCAAAAACATTACACTGTGACCAACCTGAGGCTGAGGAGATAGTAATGTACTATATTATAATAGACATACAGTAACTATGAGATTAAAAGTAGTCTTAATGCTCACTTAAGCACCTCACAGGGTAGATACTACATGTCACCTGGTAGCATGATGCAGCCAGGTCTAGTGAGTTCCATGAGTTCCATGAGACAGGGCCACCTCTGCACAGATGTAACTCTCAGAAAACTGAAAACAAATCTTATCCTTGCAAGAATACTTCAAGCTTTCTTTATGAAAGAAAAACTTAGTAACTGATACGGACTGGATTCAGGCATCAAAAAGTGGAAGAATTCCCCGAATTTCAAGAATGCTCTTCAGATGGAAACTGTCCTGGTCAGCTAAGATATGAGCAAAGCACAGTGAAAGCCCTGGCAAGAGGACTCATTTTGACTGGAGAAATACAAATATTTGAGCTGGCCTTGGGTCTGAAGATCAAGATCAAGGGCATCCATATGCAGAAACAGTTTAGTAAGCAAAGATATGGAAATAGGGAAATATTACAGAAAGAAAAAGGGGAAGATAAAAGGTTGAGGGGAAGAGGATATCCCATCTTCTCCTGTGTTTTATAATCTTCAAGGTGCACAAAATTCAAATGACATATTTTCCCTTTAACTTTGAGAATATCTCTTTGGGTACTGCTCAGAATCTGCTGGAATATGAAATTCTTCATATTCATTTAAAGTTTACAAAAGAAAGGATCTTACTTTAAATAATTTGTGACTCCCTCCCAATATATCACCCGATTTATCACCCCTACTTAAATATGTTCATTGTTATCTAAGCCAAAGTAAGAGTAAACAGTATAATAACTGTAATCCAGTTCCTTACACTTTTCTTGAACTTGGAGTTTTCTTGTACACGTGACTTCATTCATGAGCTGTTTCCTTGCTTCCTTTTCAAGTCTCAGCATCTTGTCCTTCTCAGCCAACTTTTTTTGCTTCTCTTCCTCTAACATTCTATCTAATTCTTTCTCCTGAGCTTTTTCTTCCTGGCGTCGCTGTTCCAAATATTTAAGATATATCTTCTGTTCTCTCAGCATATCTTCCTACATAAAGAGAAATTTAGAATTTTTAGGTGTGACAATGATACTAAGGATACATTTTTTAAAAAGACATATTTCAATCCTTTAGAGCCATCCACTAAAATATTTGTAGCTGAACTAATATGTCTAGAGTTTATTTCAAAATACTGAAGAGTGCTGGTGAGAATAGATCAAACCAGAAAGGCTGGGCATGATGATGGACATCTGTAATTCCAGCATTTGGAAGGCTGAGGCAGAAAGACTACTATGAGTTCAATGGCATCTTGAACTACACAGTGAGATCTGAAAGGAAGGAGGAAGGAAGGAAGGAAGGAAGGAAGGAAGGAAGGAAGGAAGGAAGGAAGGAAGGCAGGCCATTAACTGATGATTTCTGAAGCTAGGTGATGGATACATAGGGACTCAGTATACTGTTTTTTGTATCTGTTTGAAATATTTCACAATGCTTTTTTGAATAAATTAAAATACTTTCCCAAAGTGTTTCTCAAAGCAATTGCCAAATCATTTTCAATGATAAAGGTTATTTTCCTTTAGGTTGATGAACTCTTACACTTATAAAATAAGTCACTGTCTTCCTAAATGGAAATCACCTAACTGGAGAATAATTATACTCTGGAATAACCTAGGGAAACTTTAATAAGTACTGGGGAGGACTGAGGGTGTAGCTTTGCTTTATAGCACATACTTAGCATGCACAAGGTCTTAGGTTTGATCCCTACTACCTGGAGGAGGAAAACAAAAGCACTGAAAGCCGAGTCTCATCCCAAGCCTTCATTTTAATGGATAAATTTTAAGCTCCCAGGTGAATATAATGTGCAGATGTGGTAAACAAGTCTTAGTATATAATGCAGTTATTTTTAGTTGATTACTGTCCAGTAGCATAGTACCTGAGGTTTGAACCCAGGGCCTCATGCATGCCAGGAAGTGCTCCCATGGTGAATTACCATCTCAGCCCCTTTTATTTTGAAAGAGGGCCTCACTAAATTGTCCAAATTGGGTTCAAATCTGTGATCCTTCCTCTTCGTGCTCCTGAAATTATAGGCGTGCATCACTGAGCCTGCCATGAGTTCAACTAAATAATAAAAGACAATTGACCAACTAAAAAAAGGACAAAAGAGGTCAACAGACTTCAGAGTTTTCCAATAAGATGTGAAAATGGCCAGTCAGCACAAGAAAAAAAGGTTCAATACAATTAGTTTTAGGGAAATGTAAATCAAAACCATAATGAAATATCACTTCCAGTGTTAGGGCAGCTAAAACAACAATGATAAAAAGACAATGAGCATTTGTAGAAATCCCAATCCTCATGCTCTACTGGTAATAATGTACAATGGTATTACCATTTTGAAAAATAGTTCAGCAATTACCAAAAAGTTAAACCTTATGATCCCCTGATTCTACTCCAGTATGTGCAAAAAAAATGAAAGCATTTGTCCAAGTAAAAATAGTAAATGAATGTTCACAGCAGCATTATTTATAATAACACTAAAGTGATAACAACTCAAATGTCCATCAGCTGGCATAGATAAACAAAATGTGATACAGCCATATGATGGAATATTAGATAGTCAAATAAGGAATAAATAAAATGATACATGTTATAACATGGATAAAAATGGAAAACACTATGTTAAGTAAAAAGAAGCCAGTGAAAAGATCACATAAAGTATAATTTCATTCATATAGAATTTCTCTCCTATGAAATTCATAGGAGAGAAATCTATAGAGACAGATAGTAGGTTAGTAGTGGCTTAGGGGTTTGGGGTAGGTAAGCAAGAAGCACCAATGAAAATGTTTTAAAATACACTGTGGTGATGATTTCACATTGCCTATAAATGCCCTAAACTCCACTGAACTGTGCACTCTAAATGGGTGTGCTGTACTTTATGAATCTTATTTCAATATATTCTCAAAATGATTCAATTGAAAGCAAAAACTTAATAAAAAAATAAAACAAGCAAGTCAATTACTAAATGGGCAAGAGACATGAAGAGATCTTTCACTAAAGACTATATACAGATGCCCGAAAGTTGTTCAGCATCATTTGCCATTAGACAAATGCAAATTAAAAAAATGCTAATGACATACTGCTATACATCTACCAAAATAAAGGTATCACTACATATCTTTCAGGATAAAATAAAAATAGTTTTAGCATCAAATGGTAATCTGAATGTGGAGAAGCCAAATGGCTCTTGTACTGCTGGTGGGAAGTACTACTATACTGAAAAACAATTTTACACCTTCCTTCCTTCCTTCCTTCCTTCCTTCCTTCCTTCCTTCCTTCCTTCCTTCTCCTCTTCTTCTGCCCTCCTCCCTCTCTTCCCTCCCTCCCTCTTTCCCTCTCCCATCCCTCTCTGTTGGAGATTAAACTCAGGGGCTTCCAGTGCATAGAGAATACTATGTTCTACCACTGGGTCACACCGCACACCCCAACCCTTTCAATTTCTTCATAAATTAAACATGTAACTACCATATGACCTAGCAATTATACTTCTCGGTATTTATTCCCAAAAATGAAAATTTGTGTCCACACAAAAACCTATAGTCAAATGTTCATAGTAGTTTTACTCAGAATAGCCATAAACTGGAAGCAGTACAAATACATTCACATTGAGAGGTTAAACAACATGTGAGAGGTTAAACAATTTTTAATACATTTATACTATGACTTCTACTCAAGAATTAAAAGAAATTAATCGCTGATGTGTATAATAGCTTGGAAAATCTTGGAGGTTATGTGCAATGAAAAATCAACAGATTATATACTATATCCTTTCTTTCATGTAACATTCTTGAAATAAAATTATCAAAAATAAAAAGTTATGGTTTGTAAAGGGTTACTCAAGGAGCTGGTCAGGCAAGAGAGTGATTACAAAAAGGCTACAGGACAGATCCTTGTGGTGATGAAAATGTTCTGTATTTTGACTGGATCAATGTCAGTATTGCAACCTTGCTATTGTACTGGAGTTTTGCAAGATATTATGATTAGTTCTTAAAACAGCATGTAAATTTAAATTTACAATCATCTGAAAAAGTTTCATTGAGAAACAGGGACTAAGGTGAAACTCAGTGGCACAATGTGCTTTAGCATCTGGAGGCTCTGTATTCAAGCTCCAAGACTCCCAAAATAAAGCTTCTATAGGAGGGGCTGGGGATTTAGTGCGGTCCTGTAAGAAAAGCACAAAACTTTTCCAAGTTCAGTACAAATTGCAAAGGCACAAGTGGCTAAATAAATGTAAAATGCTTTTCCCTAATCTCTTTACCTGACCCTAAGACTTTACATATTCTGTAAGTTTCAACTCAAATGCCACTTTCTCAGTAATGTCTTCCCAAATTCTAGGAATTCTCAAACTTCAGTGAGCATGAGAAAGACCTAGGGTTGCTCATTGAAACACAGATTTCTTATTCCTGCCAAGATTTGATTTGAAGATTCTAATTCTGGTGCTGTGAAATTGCTTCCAGTCCCCTTCAGATGGTGCCAGTGCTCAGTACCATAATTTTGGGTCACTTTCCACATGACTGAGAACTCAACAGGAAATCCTGTCCAGCACCTAGTATGCATTAAATAAATGTCTTACTCTTTTGTGCTTCTTTTTATCTGCCTCTTCCTGTAAGTCTTGAAGGGCTCTTTGCACAAGTTCCATGTTCAAAGCCTGCTCTTGTCTGTATTCCTGCTGAATAAACTCCATCTTCTCTTGTAAGGTCTTCTGCAAGTTGTTTCTAACTTCCTGTTTTGTCTTCTGTTTCTTTAGCTTTTCTTGTTCACTTTCAAGTTTAATCTGTGCATTGTCCTTTTCCTAAGGTTGAACAGTAATAAAGATAATGCCTCAATCACTACAGGTAGACAAAACTTGCTGTAAGAAACGAGACTGAGGGATTTCTTAGAAATTAGACATATGCACCCGTACACACACACCTAAATTCACAGGTACTGTAAGAAATAAAACGTGTTTTCATTGCAGAGTCAGCAATAAAGCTTCTAAAAACTGGTGCATCTGTATGTGATTATTAGGTAATAAGTAACTGTGGATTTTGAAGATGCAAAAAAAGTATAAAGAGGAATCACGTTTAATCCCAGGACTCAGCATCCACCACTACTCTCAATATTGTGGTGTACTGACCTTCCAGCCTTTGTGCATCTGTGCACATCTGCACATCTAGGTGTGACTGAAAAATATGGTTTAATTTTTTTAAAATGTATTACAGTAAAAGATGCATTGCCTTTAATCCCCCCCAACTTACTTGCCCTCACTTCCAACATGCTTGATCCGTTGCTCTTGTCACTTTCTGAAGCAGTTTTGGAGATCCTTTTCCTAGAGTATCTTTAGTTGCCCTGTCATGGCTGCTTCAGTGTCCTTAACTGATTCAAAATGTTTATCTCTGGCTGGGAATGTAGCTCACGGCATAAGCGTGTGCCTGGTAAGTATAAGGTCCTGAGTTTGAGGCCCAGTGAAAAACAACAACAACAAAACCCAACTTTACCTTCCATGGTCACTTTGACTTTGGGGAAGACCGAAAGCTGCATGGTGCCAGATCCAGGGAATCAGATAAATGAACACTCAGCGTAATGTTTTATATGAGCCTGCCTTTCCCTTGGCTGGCACCAGGCAGCAGCATTCATCGTAGAGTATTTTTGTGTCACACCTCATAAAGACACTCATGAAATAAGATTTTTCAGAACTGCTTCAGAATGTGACAAGAATGATGGTTTAAGTGTGTTTGAAACAAGGAGTGTTTTGAAGAAGATTAATGGCAATGTCTTTTATTAAAATAAAATTTCTAAAATTTAAACATTCAGTCTATATTTTGATCCTACCTCACAGATTTATACACATTATTAAACAGCAATAAGAATCCCAAGACGGAAACGTGCTCCCTGTAAACCTCCCAGGCTCTCAGGCAAACTGTACAGCTGAGCCTGCAAGGTGTACTCCACCCAAAACGCCTTCGCCCACACGGTGCAGGGAAATGCCCACCAGCAGGCGCGCCTCCTCTTCCTTCAGGCGCTGTGCAGCCTGCCTTTGCGCCTGGATGCTGGTGACCTGGGCGTTCAGTCCCAGGCGTGTGTTCTCCACCAGCTCCTTCTGTTTCCTCTCCTCTTGGGCTTCTCGCCTTTCTTTAGCTAAGCGGTCTTCCTCCCAGAGCCTCGCGAACATCTGCTCTTCTATCACCTTTTGCCTCTTCTGCTCCTCGTTAAATGCTATTTGTGCTTTCCGCTCCTCGCACACTGTCTTCCGGTGGATGCGGAACAACTGATTCCGGAGCTCGTCACAGCATTCCCTAAAGAACAGTTTTGGAAAAGACAAACAGCCTTTCGTCAGGCACGCCTCTATTTAGATCCCTCCTTACAGTCACTCACAGCAATGAGAAAAGTCCAGGACCTGGAAGCAGGTCATCTGTGTGCAGGAAACACTAGGGAGCCGCAGGGAGGCAGGGCCAGGAAGCTCTGCGCCAGCTCAGGCGATGGAGGCAGGAAGAGCAGGCTTTGAAAACTAGTTTTGCCGTTTCCTGTATGGCTGTGGATCAAAAACTGCTTATTGGAGCTTGTTTCCTCATCTGTAAAATAACTGCCATTCAGGCTCTAGTATAGATGAAAGAGAACAGATGTAAATACCTGACAGATGGGGGCTCAATAAATGGTGGCTATTACCTATCACTGTTAATATTACTAGTATTATTAACTATTACTATAGAGGAAACAGAAGTGACGGGTACTGCGGCCTTACGTGTTACCACGGAATGGGCTGATATAGTCCAGGCTTTTGTGTACCACAAGGAAAGAATTGCCAAGTGTGTATCCAGTAGCAAGCAGCAAGCAGCTATATTTGTTGAAGATCACAGGAAGCTGTGCATAGGGCAAGTCCGTCCCACAAAAGATAAGGCACAGACAGAGAAAGGTAGTTGGGTGACAGAAAAGACACTGCATACAAACCATAGCACACAGAAACAGCAATAGCAGCATCACACTTCGATAAATCAGGCTTTCAGAACTACAAGGATTTGCATCTCAGCCCAGGTATCTCTCCCTGAATCTGTAGGTGTGATTGACAGGAATGATTGACAGGGTGCTGAGTCATCTCAGGGGCTCTTAACATGCATGCTTTGTCCCAGAATTCACTCTGATCTTAATTAGTGAATGATATATTTGTGAGGTGAGAATAGGGTGAATGTGACTAAGGTCAGGCTAGGAGATCTAACAGGCATGTATTGTCACCTAGAGCATTTAAGATCTGCTGGGGTTTTATTTTATTTTCTACCCCTCTTAGGACAGTGTAAGCAAGAATGACCACAGGCTGCTGCTTAGCATTAAGTCAGGGAGAGAGTGACTCCCTCAGCCCCATTGTTTATAGCATTAGTTAAGAGACATTGGTACCACTTCCAAGGAAGCTTTACAGATGGGGTCAGCATGTCACAGTGAAGCTTCTCTACTGCTCTGATAACTCTGACAGGGTACATGCTCACAAAGAGGTTCCTGCTCAAGCTGAGTGAACAGCCCTATTGCGGCTGCCTTCTTTCCTTTTCAGACCCAGCCAGATGCAACATTCAGGAAGAAATGCTCTTCAGTAAGTGTTCAGATCCCATCATTTCTTTCAATTTAATAAGTCAACTGTCTTCAAAAGTTGTTTCTTGAGCCCACTATGGTTGGAATATGCCTTACAAAGGTTAATGTACTAGAAGTCTGGTCCTCAGTGGTGTTGGGAAGTGGTGAGACTAAAAAGGAGGGACCTAGTCAAAGGTAGTTGGGTCATGGGCACCACCCTTTAAAGAGCAAGATCCCCTGTCATCTCTTGCTTTTTCACTTGCACATGTCTGTACACAGAAGATTCCTTTGCCATTTCTCCATCATGTTATGTGGTTGCCAGAGGACCCATGCCAGGACACTGGAACTATACTATTTGAATCTTCTCTCCACCAAATTAGTGAACCAAATAAATCTCTTTACTTTATAAGTTATCCAGTCTCAAAAATTTTGTTATATCTTAAGTTACAGATAGCATGGGAATCTCTAGGTTAGCTGAGTCTAAATTGGCTCAGCCTGCCTTTCCTGATATTAATATATTGTCAGGTTATAATTTTTTAAATTTCCTTTACATAAAAACTTGGAAGGACTTCAAAGGTGGAAAAGGCCAACTTCCAAAGATCACCTATAATGACTCCAATTATAGAACATTTTAAAAATTGATGAAATTATGGAAGTATAGATTTAGTGGTTGACAGAGGTTAAGAATGCTGTGAGATGCCTGGGATGAGAAAAAAAAGGGTAGCATCAGAGGAATCTCTGTAGAAATGAATGAGTATTTCCTTTCTTCTGTACTGTTTATTATGGCTTATATCTAGTTGTGCCCTCCAGAGCCTCACATAATTTAGTGTGTGTGTGTGTGTGTGTGTGTGTGTGTGTGTGTGTGTGGTGGGGGAGGGTTCAGAGGTGGCTGGATCTAGGGTATGTGAGGCTGGGATTAAGGATTTCCAACTCTGGATGTGGGGCACTAATCAATAAGATTATAGACTGCTTAGAATATAAGGGAAACTTCTGCTACTGCTGCTTGCTGTTTTCTGCCTCCTCTGCCATGCCATGGACCATTTCTCCTCTCTGGCATGCTGCTGTGCCTTGGAGCCAGCTGCTTATGGACTGAAACTTCTACAAACTTTGGAATGAAATAAATATTTTCTCCTTTACCTTTGGGTATTGGACATTTTGTCTTAGCAATGGGAAGATTAACTAAAATATCCCTTAAAACCTCAGGCACTCAAGTGGAGCTTTTGGAAAATCACTGGATTGTGGATGTGGGATAGTGGATTAGTTTACTGATGGGCTGATAGCTAGCATGATATTGGAAGGCTGGAAGGTGAAATCTGGTGGGGGGAAGGTGAGTCATAGTGACATGGTCTGGAAGAGTACATCGTCCTCCTCTGATGGCTCACTGATTTTTAACTCCCACATCCCACTCTCATGCCACTATGCCTTCCAACTACAGAATGAAACCTCTACAAATGGTGAGCTAAAATAAACCTTTTCCTCTTTAAATTGTAGGAGTGGGATATTGTGTCTCAGCAATGAGAAAACTAAGTAGGGCTTTTCTTTTTGGGGGAAGGGAACTAGGGATTGAACCCAAGGCTTTGCACAGGATAGGTAAGTGCTACGCCACTTACCTATATCCCTCAACCTTTTAAAATTTTGAGACAGGGTCTTACTAAGTGGCTCACAATGGCCTTGAACTTGTGATCCTCCCATTTTAGCCGTTCAGGTAACAGGGATTACATGCCTGAGCCACAGCACCAGCAGAGTGATGTGTACCTTGAATGTGATGGTGCTCACAGAAGTACACACTCACTGCACCAGTGTCGGTTCCTTCTTTCTACTGCTGTGCTACAGTTACACAAGATGTAACCACTGAGGGAAAGTGAGTGAAGGGTACCTGGGACCTCTGAAATTACCTTTCCATTTTCTATGACTACATAATTGTTTGAACATTAAAAACTTTAAAAAAGTAAAAAGAAGTCACTGGCAATCTTTTTGTCATTATTTATTTTATTATTAGTGAAAATAATTTTCAGTGCAAATGACTGCAATCACTGATAATGATCCACTTCAGGTATCAAATATTTTAGGAATCTCACTTAGTATACATCTAAGGGAAATGAATGCATTTATTTACATGCATCAAAAGATAATATGCATAGCATCTTTCTTCATAAAAGTCCAAATAAAACTAATAAAATGCCTATCACTTGGAGAATAGACAAATATACCATGTTATATAAAAATAAATAGAAGAAAAATTTTGTTTTATACATATTAAAGCCTCACTTACATTCAGTAATGAGACATAATATAGCACCCTGACTCAAAAATATGTTTGATGTTCTGTATCAAAGATTTGGCTGTCTTGCATTAAAAATTACTGAAAAGAATTTGTTTTCAGATTAATTATATTACTGAAGGATGAATTTATTCCTTTAAAAGTACTATAAATTTATCTAACTAGCAAATAGTCATAAAAGTAAAATTTGTAATATGTTGCTAAATTGATTAATTTTGGGGGGATACCAGGGATTGAACTCATGACCCCACACTTGCCAGGCAGAGTTCATTCATTTTTAAGAACACAAATCTCTTATGAGCATTCTTTTTTTATTAATATAATGAGAAACAATTCTAAGGAATAGAAAGTAGTAGGCCATTGTGAGTTAGTTCACTAGTATCCCCACTACCTTCCCAGCATCTTTCCCTCATTGCAAGTAGGGAGGATGTCCAAGTTCCACTGAGAATGTGGTGTAGGTATGTATGTACTTTATGTAGTACTTAAAATCTAAGTCAAACTCTGCTTTAACTGTTACAAGCTTAAAGACCTAGGCAAACTCCTGTCTTGGAAACTCCACTTCCTCTGCAGGACAGTGCAAATGGTCTCTCTGGCCCTACATATCCTGACTCTGGTTTTCTTTATGGCCCTCTTTAGCATCTCCCCCTGCAACCTGTACCCTCTGCTCCTTGCAGTAGCTTACTTCTCCTGCAGGCCCCTGTAGGAGGGATTAGAGCACTCTGTATTGCTAATAGCAACTTTATGGAGTTGCTGTCAATAATAGAGAGATTTCAAAAGCTTTTCTTTGATCCCTCCATGTGTCTGGTTGTCACCTGGTGACCTCTAGATTTCTTACCTACTTCGATTTTTAATACTGTGAAAAATTAACTCTTGTATCTTTTCTGTATTCTGCCAGGTTTTTAACCCAGAGCTTACATTACTGTTGGGCCATCTGTTCCTGAATCCAGTTTGCCCCACACTCTTGTGCCACTCAGTCAGTTACTTGATGATTTAAGTGACATTAATTTTTCATAAGCCAATCAATTTTTCTATCACAGAGTCCAGCATAAAGGAGAGTCTCAAAAATTTTACTAAATGGGGCAACTCATTTGGGATACCTTCTGTTTCTCAAGACCTATTCCTATTCCCCATATCCACCTCAAATCTTCCTCCTCCTAACCTCTATTGTCCCTTAAAATTCATTCTTCCACTTTGGGGAACAAGAACTCAGTGTGTCTGACATCAAGCACCTCCCCTAAATGATCTTGGAGGGTCCACCAAGGTATTTGGGAGGAGAGGCTACCAAACTCCAATGATCATGCAGATGGAACAATGGCAGAGGTGTCATACACCTTTTACTAGGGTCACTAGATTGACCGCATAAAGGGAATTCATAACTGCTGAACTGCAATTGCTAGGTTAGCTCTCTAAAGCAGACCCCTGTCCGCGGTTTCCCCTACACCGACCCTTCTCAGCTCAAAGCAGCTAGATGGAAACTACATCTCTTCTCCCGTAACCACACTTAGGGGGGATATCTGATCAGAGAAGGGATTATTACACACAGATAGGTCAGGTAGAAATACATAGTAGGCAGTGAGACAGGGCTGAGTCCTTCAGGGAATGATTCAGTGCAGAAGATGGAAATGCATCAAAACTGGCTGAAGGTGCATCTGAAGAAGATTAAAGTCACAATGGCTAGATTTACTTCCCTAAGGGATAAACAAGCTTGAGATTCTTGGTAATACCTTTTTGAGATTTCTCACTATCTCATTAGGAGTGGGTCATTCCTTAAGAATACTAAAACTATGACTGAAGACCAGACTAAGACTATAGATTATTGACCAAGGTTACTGATGTCACCTATATGCTCTTGCTATCATTGGGTCAATGTTACCTAAGTGAATACTTGCAGTCTTATTGGTGAATTATAATCATAATTATAATTATGACCCACATTCTACCTTCCTCACAATTTTGCTCTATAAAACTTAAGTATTGAATGAACTCTAATGACTATGTTATAAACCCTTCTGGATAACATTTGAATTTTAAAAATCCTTTCTGAAGATAAAATTTTAATCAGTTACTCTAAAATTAAAAGGCACATGACGCGGATGATTTTGATGTGACCCATGACAGTCCATGGGTCACATCATAACCATTACTGCATTGAAAGGAGCAAAATGAATAAACCAAACAAACCTCAAAAATAAAAGACAGCAATTCTATCGCCTTATTAGAAGTATAAGACACACTAAACATATGGTTGTAGAATGTAATTAAATTATAAATTAGAAGTATGTTCTTTCTCTAAGAGTTGTAACTCTAGGGAGGCACTGACAATTTCTGTAATATCTTTGCTGCAAAGGTAGGGCATCTCTTAGTTTGTGAAGCTAAAATCATGCAGCAAGCTTTCGATGATGTGATGCTATAGGTCATCTCAGAAGACTGTCTTTCCTGCAGATCTTCCAAGTGTAAGCGCACAGCACTGGGCTGAAATTAGGGTATAGATTCAAGAACCTACATATGTAAAAACAAGATGAAAAGGCAGATGTAGATAGCCATAGAATCAGAGTGAGTACATTGAAGGCCCAGGATCTAAACTGGGGATCATCATGGCTAGGGGTCGGAAGTGAGTCCGAAGTCCAGGTTATCAGACCCTGAGTATCAGAATACAGGTATTCAATAAAGAAGAGGGAGCCTAATACACATTCAGCACAGAAAGAGATTACAGCAGTAGAGAGCAAGCCCAACTTTATCAAAGACTTCCCAGGACAGGGCTTTAAAAGAACTTCTGGCCAACAGCAAGAATAAGGTTAACAGCCAAAATCAGTACCAAAATCTCACTTGGTACTTCAGTCTAATTGGAAAACAAGCATAGAACTCTACAGATGAATTTTCAGAAAAATTCAGTACTTGCGTCTTATCTATAAATTAGCAAAGCTATGATTACTGTGATTACTCCCCTATAATTTACTGCAAATTAGAATTTCTAAGCCTTTTTAATATGCTAAATTCAGAATCTATGTGTTTCACTATTCGATTACCTGAATTGTTGGTCTAACTTTTCAGCCACAAAATCCTGTCTTTCTTTTTCTTTCTTCTCTTTCAATAATTTGGTTTTCTCTCTCATTCTGTCTTTTTTCTCCTCAATGGTTTCTTCTTTCTGTTGCATTTCAGTAAAATACTCCTTTTCTTCTGATGCTAAAAGTTCACGTAGCCTAAAACAATAGACAAAAAAATTAAAACTGTCATGCCATTTTATTGATTGTTGCTATATTAAATTTCAAAATGTCAAATCATAAACTTTGTAGCAGAAAAAGATTTTAGCCCTCCATAAAATGACATTGATCTGTGTTATATTTTATTTGACCGTATACAGATGAAATATGATATATGTATCTTCAACAAAAGAAGCAAAATGGATAGATTTCAATTAAAGAAACAAAATGTACCCAGCACTCAGGAGGCTGAGGCAGGAGGATCACCATGAGTTGGAGGCCAACCTGAACTACAAAGTGAAATCTTGTCTGGAAAAAAAGTAAAATAATGTATTCTTTGGTTTTCTAGCAAAAGCAAAAATATTTACTACTGATTTAACTATGAATAACTCAGCCATGATCTTGACTATACTTGAATTCTTACATATTTGTGTGTGTGTGTGTGTGTGTGTGTGTGTGTGTGTGTGTGTACTGGGCTTTCATACTGAGCTATATCCTCAAGTCTTTTCCTATTTTCCATTTTGAGACAGGGACTTGCTATGTCATTAAATGTTGTTTGACCAAAGTGGGCTTGAATTTGTGACTCTCTCACTGCAACATATTGTGCCAGAAAGGCTGGGATTACAGCTCTATATCACCATGTTCGCCTTACACTTGATTTTCTGACAGGCCAATATCAATGTATGGTTTCAGAAATGCTTCATAGTATGGGCCTTACTTATTTCGCCTTTCTTCAGTGTTGATGATAAACCCTTGCATGGCATCTTTAATTCTTGTTTGCACAAGGCTGTTTAAAAACTTGCGGTCAATGTGTTGATCCCAGTCAACTTTGAGGCGATCCTGCTCAATTGACTTAATGGAAGCCAGAGTAGCATGATACTTCTGGTGGCTGCGTTGGATTCTTTCCAGATGTTGCTCAGCCCCTGGGCCTTTGGGAGGCTTGGCTCTCTTAAAATAAAAACGCAACTATTACTTACAATAAGCCAAATATCAATAGTGTATTTTCAACTAATTATGACCTTTAACAATATTCATAATCATACTAGATAAAATTGGGCATAAAAACTAATTACATTAAGATGAAAACATCTTAAGCACCTTAAGGAGTAATCTGTTTCATTCTGAACTCATACTTAAGATGTCATAAAATCAGTCTCAAATACTGATGCTTCTTGACATAAGATGGGATATGTCCTGACAAATTCATTGTAAGATGAAAAACTGTATGCATAAAAACCACACCTAACTCACTGAACGTGACAGTTTGGCAACACAATACACTGTAGAGAGATTCATATGCACCCTCATGATATTATGGTCACTGAAGGCTATGTGACTTGATGCTCTCCCCAGCATCTTGAGATTATCACACTATCTATTGTTAGCCTGTGTCTTAGTTACTTTTGTATTGCTGAGACAAAATACCTGACATCCGTAAGTTAAAGGAGGAACAAGTTTATTTTAGCTCACAGTTTACAGACATGTCAGTCAATAATAGCTTGGCTCCAAGGTAGTTTGGCATAGCAAAGGAGAAACAGTCCATAGCAGAAAGGAATTAAGCAGCAAAGCAGAGAGCCTTCCTTTTCTTTTATAATTTGTTCAGGCTACAAACCTATTGGTTGATGCCACCCGTACCCAGTGTGGTCCTTCTGTCTTCCATAAATCCATTCAGCCATGTCCAGAAGAACCATGCTAAATCAATCAGTTATCAATGAGTTATCACACACCTATAGTCAATATTCACACACCAAACAGTCAATAATCACATGTCCTAGATCCCATCTCTGAAAATCTCACCTATGAGTGATAAACTTTGGGGGGAACATTTAGACACAAGCCATAACATTTTAGAGAGGACCCAAATTCAAAATTCAAATTAGAGTTTCTATTTAATGCCTACTGCTTTTGCACCATCATGAAAAAATTTTGTAGATTGTTATTTTAAAAATATTGTTTGAAATTAAAAACTTCAAATTTTTATCAGACTCTATAGAGTACCATGTGCCCAAAGTGCTTCAAATAGTAAAGGTAGACCTGGGTAGAATTAGAAGGAGAAGTTTTTAGCCAGGTGTGGTGGTACATGCCTATAATTCCAGCATTTGAGAATCTGAGGCAGGATTGCTGCAATTTCAAGGCCAGTCCTGGGCTACAGAATGAGTTCAAGGCCAGCATGAACTATATAGTGAGACCCAACCTAAAAAAAAACTAGAGGTTATTTCATTCCTTACCGTGATCTTGACACCTGCTGTTACATATTGTTATACCACAGGACCACTATCAAAATATTTTCAATGAGGAAGGGCTACTACCTAAGTTTATAGGCTATATAAAAAGGGGTGTCATAGAATAAGAGAGAGAAAGTTTTGAAAATGAAAAGCTAAGTAGGAAAGAAGCAGTAAAGAGAGGAAGGAGGAGGGAGAGTAAGGAAAAGAAAAAGAAAGCTGTGGTACAACTTTATGCATGTATTTCCATGATTTTCAGAAGTTCGGATACAAGAGCTCTGTTCCTGTTATTTTGGGGTAGCATCTATTTCTATAAATGTATTGTTTTTATACAATATGTTGTGTAAAACCATTAAAAGGTTGGAAATGCACGCGAGCTTTGAATACGTACTAAACAAAATCTTACAAAGTACTGTATTCTTAGCGTTTTTGTATTCTTAGCATTGAACACAGTTCCTACCTCGGTCAGGTTCTCCATACAAATGGATGAGTGGATAATAAAAGTTTATGGATGGATTTGATACTATTTCTGCATCTCCTGAAGCCACCATGCAATTAATATTTTGAGTTTTATGTTTTCTTTCCTTTTCTCTCTCCTTTAATCCTAGGGATTAAACCCAAGCACTTTACCACTGAGCTATGCTTCCAGTCCAAGCTTGGCCTTTCCACCAACAGTTTTATTCAGTCATCCTTAGGTAGGGTGTGAGCCTTGGGGGTGCTGATTCACAGTAAAAATATTCTTGAACTTATGAGGTAAAGAATCAACCAGATAAATTATATTTAAAATTTATCAGTATCAGGATTACCAGCATATGGGTGTTTGGTATTTGTGATAAGATCTCTGGGGAAAATAAAATCAATATTGGAAGATAGTTTGATGAAAAGATTTTGGGCTTGGGGGTCATATATAGGGCATCTATATGTAACCGAGCAAAATGAGGTTAGTCTGAAGAAGGGAGTCAAAAAATGATGCTGGGTGTTATATGAGAAGTACCTAATTTATACCAGAACTACTTGGAGCCAGTTAACTACTATTCTCTAATAATTTTTGGCATTTTGTGAATGCAGCATCTGTGACACCAAAGCAGAGCAGGGCCATAATGGTATTCAAGCTCCTGGTATACATGTGGGCTGAGAATAGGAACCATGAACTAAAGTCATCTATAAGCAACTGTCTTAAGTCTTCAGGAAGGCAGACTAGGCCCAGAACTAGGCTCTGGGATACCTTTTGTCCAAAGAGAGAAATTGGGGTGATGGGTGGCATAAAACAACATGAGCAGTAGCTAGGGGACCAGGAAGGCCTTTAAGGCTTGAGGCTTTCTATCGAGACCCCAATTTGGGAATGACTCCGTTTCCAGATGAATAAAGTATGACCTAGAGTTCTCTAATCAGGAAGCATAATCCAAGCCATCTTGTCATTGCTCAAAATCTGCATTAATTAGGGGCTGGGGATCTAGCTCAGTGGCATAAGCACCTGCCTTGCAAGCAGGTGGTTGTGAGTTCAATCCCCAGTACCGATAAAAAAGAAAAAGACAAAAAAAATCTGCATTAATTAGTAGAAACATAATATAAAACATATATGCAATTACTAGTAGCAATATTTAAAAAGTAAAAAGAAACAAATGCATTTTGATAATATATTTTTATTTAATCAATATATCCAAAATGTTATCATTTCAACATGTGACTCTAGGAACATTTTGAGTGGTCAAAAACCAGGTACAAAACTGCATGGGAAAAACTTCAAAGAATCAACAACTGAGATCTCATATTACTAAAAAGTTTTCGCACTTCAAAAGAAATCACCAAGAAAGTGAAAAAAAACCTCACAGAATGGGAAAGAATTTTAGCCAGCAATCCCTCAGACAAAGGACATATCTGGAATATATAAAGAAGTGAGAAACATCGAGCCCCCCAAATTCAAAGATCCTCTCCAAAAATGGGTATCCAAGATGAACACACAGTTCCCAGATGAAGATATACAAATGGCAAATAAATCTATGAAGAAATGTTCACCATTACTGGTCCTTCGAGAAATACAAATTGAAACAGCATTGAGATTTCATCTCACCCCAAAAGAATGGCTGCCATAAAGAAATCAACTGATAACAAATGTTGGCCAGGATGTGGGGGGGAAAAGGAAAACTTTTCCACTGTTGGTGGGTGTGCAGGACTGGTGCTACCATTGTGGAAATCAATATGGAGATTCCTCAAAACACTAGGATTGAAGGTTCAATTGAGCTATTCCCCTTCTGGTTATTTTCCCCAAAAAATTGAAAAGGTCATGTCACAGAGATATATGTGCACCCATGTTCATAGCAGCACAATTTGTAATAGCTAATTCTTGGAAACAACCAAAATGCCCATCAGCTGCAGAGTGGATGAAAAAAATGAGTTATTTTTACACAATGGAGTACCACTTGGCTATAAAAAGGATGATCTTGAGGCCTTTATAGGTAAATGGAGGCAACTTGAGAATATCCTCATTAGTGAAATAAACAGGACACACATTAGTAAATATCACATTGTCTTTCTAGTGTAAAAAATAATAAAAACTGTCAGGTAATAAGATCCAAGAAGTATAACAGATATTGTAAAAGTGAAAGGGAAGGAAAGTGCTTTAAAGGATATAACGGTATGAATAAGTGTGTAAGATAGATAACCATATTACTGAATTTCTGTTCGTGAACAGAATGATTTGCACTGTCAATGTTTGAGTGTCTAGCCACTTTTTTGCTTTGATTTTGTAACAACTGTTTTTAAGATGACAATATGTAATGTATCAACTAGTGATTTTACGATGTTAATTTTTTTTGAATTCTGTATTATTCTACCTTTTTCTTGTTTTTTCTATTCTTTCTTTAAATAAAAAAAAAAACAGGTGTGAGACATGGTGGCATATATCTGTAATCCCATCACTCAGGAGGCTGAGGCAAGAGGATTACCAAGAGTTCAAGCCTGGGCTACAAAGCAAGACTCTCTCAAAAAAAAAAAGAATGTGCCACGTGTGTGTGGCTAGATGGCTACTGTAGTGGACACTTAAGATCTGAAACATGCAAAAGGCAGGATAACACAGGATTTACTAATAACTTTGTATTTTCAAGGTCATTGAAAGCTTCTGTTACTATTATAGTTTTCAGAAGTACAGTTTATAGTTTAATGTTTTAAGAAGAAGAATGCCTTCATCCTAAATTTGATTCTGGCCTTCATCCATCACAAGCAGTGTTCAGCAAGTTAATTAAATCTCAGTGAGCCTCAGTTTTTTCATTTGTCACATAAGCAGGATAAATGCACTTTCAGTAGATATTCACATTACATTTGAAATTGTTTTCTTCTGGGTAATTGTTTAGGGAACAAGCCTTACCTCTTAGTGACTTTCTTTCTCTAACATTATTCTGTTACTCTCTAACATCTGTATTTATCATACACTGACACCTGAAGAACATACGTACCAACTCTGGCTTCTACTTTTTTTTCTTAATTCTTCTTTAAGCACAAGTCTTTAATAGCCTTGCTTTTTTCATTTGGAGGTATTTTTTTCTGTTCTTTATTGGTTTTCAACATAAGTAACAATCAGCACCCAAAAAATAGTCTAGCCCCCACTGTTTAGATATAGGATCTAAAGATCAGTTTCGGTTCTTAATTCTGTCTAGATTATCACCTTGAACCCTCCAGCCTAAGGAAGCTTCTATACATACCACTGCTTTCCAGCTCCTTAATTTACAGTCCTTTGGACCTAGAGGAGGAGGAACAGGTCTGTAGCTGGACTGAAATTTGCTGTTCACAGTGGAGAATAATATAATTGTATCCTTGATTATTCCTGATCTTTTTTCTACAAACTGCCATTACAGAGATATAGATTATAATTTACTGTTAATCTCTAATGGTTCATGCATGAGCAAGTTGGTTCTGCAACTCGAGTATAAGCTCTGGTGAAGGCAGGGATAATGCTTCTAATGAGTAAACTTTCTAGGGTCACTGGACTCACTTTTGTATCTTCCATGTTGCTGTGCACAGAGCTGGGGCCTCAGGGAATAGCTAACTGCCTAATGATAAAGGTAGATTTTCTGGCCTGAAGAAACTAGTTTGTAGGAACAAAGGACTGCGGTCCTTGGACCAGTATTTAGGGGTTCTCAGCAAGATTTATCAAGTTCTGCAGCACAGAACATTCCCTTGACCTATCACTACCATCCAGTTACTTGCCCAGTTTGCAAAGAAAAGGTTCCATAGCCACACACAACCCCCCACAGTTCACGTCCCCTTTCACAGCTGACTTTCCTAGGGGCACAAGGCTCAGCCCAAGATCATTCTGCTAAATCACTACCACCTCAGATCTCGGAAATGGCTCCCACCTAGTGCTTTTCCGGTTCTTGAGAGACTGAAAATCCCAAGACCTTAAGTGGTCAGTCTCCAAATACAGACCGTTTATGTACTGTGACTAGACGTTGGGTGGGAGAGCAGGATGAGAGGGGATGAGTGGAAGGGAGGATAAGTAGGTGAGCCACCTTTCTTCTTTTAATCAACCCTCCATATCCAGCACTTGCTGTCTACAGAAAACCCCAACTAGGGGATAAGCGCTGTGCTAAGCTGGAGAGCAAAGAGATGGAGAAAAATGCAGGCTACTGTATCCCTGTCTTGCGCTTACCATAATTACTACTTTGGGAGTGGGGCCTTTGACTTCCCGCTGTTCGATCCCAAACCGCTGGCTGTACATTTTTGAGTCCCGTCGGTATGACGGCGGCTGCGAGGATCTACCGTGACCAGCCGACCCTGCCTCTTCCACCAACGCAGAGATCCCGTTGCTATGGTGAGCCTCGAGGTGACAGCAGCAGAGGTGGGTCGGTCAGCCGGAAGCCGGTCTCGTTGCCATGGGGCCCACAGACGCCATCTCTTGCTATTTCCTCTTGCAGCCCAGGACTTGGGTCTGCGCCAGTCGGCTGAGTTCCCGCCCCTGGCCAGACTGCCAAGGGCCTGGCTCCTCCAGAGCCCAGAATGGCCGGAAAAACCCATTTAAACCGAGGAAAGTTGGTCTAATTTTAATTCCACTCCACTCTATTTATAGACTGTGTTGGCCAAAAAGTACAAAGACTAGCGGACATTTTGTGGTAAGGCGAAATTTTGTACCTGTTGTTCTCCATAAAGGCGAAAATAATCACAAGACAACCTTGTATTTGTGTAGTTCTTTACAATTTGCAAGATATTTTCACAGATACAACCTTTGAGCCTGACAAATATCTTACAGGGTGGATGGAACAGCAGGTATTACTATTCTCATTTTACATTGAAATAAATTTAAGGCCCAGGGAGCCAAAGTGCTTTATCAAATCATCCAAACAGTAATAATAAATCTCTTAAGAAAGTCATTGTACTGCACTGGGCAGAAACCAGGTCATAGACATAGGGTTACCCTTGGAAAGAGATATCAAATGGGCTGGTGGGGGCACTGATGTGACCTGGCTGGGCACATTTTTTAAAAAGTCTGAATCGAGGGGTCACTGTGGACCAGGGTCAGGACACCGCTCGTAAGTTGGTTCCCGAGCATCAGGATACCAGGCAGGAGAACTGGCAACAGAGATCAGGAAACTAGACTGGGCCCTCAGCATGGGTGGAACCCACAGTTTTATTTCCCTTCAAGAGCAAAATGGTAGTTAGTACCTAAAAGCCAATTAAGAATGACACTTTGGTACTCCCATTCTAAAGTGGGGCAACACAGAACACTAACTAGAGCACAGGAAAAATATCAGTAACTACGCCAGTCACTGAGGTATACTATTAACCACCTTACGACTAATGTTTACACCCTCTTAAAGGCCGCAGTAAATTAGCATTCCTTAATCATTTGTAATCCACCTGCTTCTGATTTTCTATATGGTACATTTCTAGATTTGGAATCCATTTCCTGAATTGCTGGTTCAGCGTTTCAGTCACAAAATATGTCTTTCTTCTAATAATTTCTTTTAAGTATCCTTTTTTTTTCCTCCTATAATGCTTCTTCTTTCAATTGCAGTTCGGTAAAATACTCATTTTCATTTACTGTTAAGAGTTTACGTAGCCTGAAACAAACAAACAAAAAAAGAAGTTAGGAAATTCTCTGGGTTCCCTGAACGGTGCCCTGAGGGGCTGTGGCTCCATCTTTAAGGGTTCTGGGCCACTAGTGAGCCTGGGCAGACCCTAACCCCTTCTCCAGAAGAGAGACACTGAAAACAGCAGGCACCCAGCACCCTCACCCCAGAGAAAATTACAGAAGGGTCACCGACGTGCTGATATTCGGAGCTGCCCATCAGAACATGTTTTCAGAGGCCAAGAGAAAGCCCATAGGCAGCCAGCTGCCTTTGTGAAGTCCCTTCTTCAGTTCTGAGGCTGTCATGACTCACCCTCACCTTGGGTGAGCCTGGCAATTTAACTCTGGCTTAATGTTGCCTTTTTCTCCACTATTTGAAGAGGGAGAGTCGCTTCCTTCTGACCTCAGCCCAAGAATGGGCCATGCACAGGCTAGAGGCCCCACCCCAGGGCAGCCAGGCCAGCAGCAGGCAAGGGTAGTGTGGCTCAGCTGGTCAGATGTCTTCAGTCCAGAACCACCCCCTGGTGGGCCCCTGGGGAAATGAGAGGGCTGGGCCAGGTGTCCAGCACCAGGAGCTTCGGACTGCAGTCACCACCTCACAAGCCTGTAAGAGTGATGCACCTGGGTTCTTCAAGAGAACTAATCTTGATTCTGCCACCCACTTGCCTTAGTTTCTCCAAGTCAGTCAACACTGTTAGCATCAAGACACACACCACAGAAATGCTAAACATACAAATCAATAAATGGGACAATAAAAATTATTTTAAAATAATTTTTAAATAGAACTGCTTAGAGTCAGAAACTAAATTTCCAATTCTTTCTATGCCCCAACAAAGTTCTCATAGACTGGCTTAACCATATTTTCATGAGTTCTGTATTTGCAGCATTACATTCCATGACAAATTTGGAAACCCATTCACCACTTGTAACACACACTGATACATTAAAAGAGTTGCATGGACTGTATCTTAATTTCTGTATCCTAATATTAAGTACAGCGCCAACATGGGCCAGGCTCTCAATACTTAAGTAGCACGAAAACAGCTGAGATAGCAAGTTTATTCTGGGTGAGCTGAGTGGAATTTCTATACTTGCTGTGGTCTTCAGCTTTGCATTTTCATTTAGTTTTATAGTTATCCTCAGGTGAGTAATGAGACCCTCAGGAAGTGATTCATGGCAGGGTGGCTTTGTAACATATCACCTTGACTAGGCTGTTTCCAGAACTCCATTCTGTGTGCTTCTGGAGAGGTCAGCTCACAACACACATTTTGCCTGAGAACTGAAGCAGCAGCATATTGTTTTTATACTTGGAAGACTGGTAAAAGGACACCAGGTGCTCCTGCAGTCCACTTGTACTGTCACTTATTTGCTGGCTCACTCTGTTGGTATGGGGGTAGCAGACAGGCCTGCGGCTGCTCCACTTTCTCTGGGATCTTCCATCAGCCTCTCTAATCCTGGGCCAGATCTATTAATTGTGAAGAAGGGAACCAGTTTCTTCTGCAGGATACCCACATCGTCAAAGTGGGAAACAGTCGTATCCATAAACTGTGAGGAAGAGAACCAGTTTTCTTCTGCAGGATACCCACATCATCAAAGTGGGAAACGGCAAGACTGACATAGGTTCCAGACCACCTTTTTGGTGCTGACTCTTGCATGTGGGCTCCAATGTGTCCATCTTCCCTTCCCGACTGCCTCCCTGCAGGCTTCAAGCTCCAACATTAGATGAACAATAGCCTTATAGTGACTGCTTAATCAGCCCTCATAATCACATAAATTCAAATCCCTCTGACAAATCCCTTAAAATACACATGTGTATCATCTGTATTCTGGTAGTTCTGCTCTTCTGATTGTACCCTAATTCATCCATATGGTAATCACTCTTCACTCAGGAGTTAAAATGACAGTCAAATAAATTTTCCTGAGAACATCACCGTCAGAATTACCAGAGTACTAAGGTTGGGTGTTAGACCCAAGGGGAAAAAAGCAGTAACAGATTACTCAGTCTTGGCTGGGGCTGGGCTAAATAAGGCAAGGCAGAGGAACAGGAGAGTGGCAGAGAACTGTATCTTTTGAGTTACAAAAGAAAAAATGACTAATCCATATCTGAATTAATTCCTGCTGCAGGACTGGGACTAGGTAAGGAAAAGAAGGTACGAGGGAGGACATAACATTTAAGCAAGCACTATCAGTCTTGGCCCTGTAAAGCTAAGTAACAAATTACATGTCTAATCTTTTTGGCATGTTATGAATGAAGCATGCTGAGTGAGGTAAGGCTGAGCCAAGACTGGCCCTACAGCAGAACTGGAGGCAGGAATTAGCCTTCTACTAGACATTTGGGTTGAGTGACAGCAACCAAGAAGAGAGGTCATGAGAAGGCGGGAGACAGACACCTATTGTCAGGAGATGGGCCAGGCTGGCAGCTTTAGTTCCAAAGACTGCTCTGACTGAGGTTGGTGAGTCAATTTGAAAAGCAAAATGGACAGTAGGCAATTGAGAAGATAGCTTTTAGGGTTTGAAGATTACTATGTAGCATATGGGGCTTGTGAACCCAGTTTCTACAAGAATAGCTGCTCTGAAAACAAGGTGACCCCATTCGTATAGCTTTGGCACTCCTTAAACCATGCTAAAGGCAGGAGTATAACGGATTTATACATTATTTACAGTAATCCATTGTCTAATTGCACTGAAAACTATTACTGCAATATTACACATTATTGCACTTAGGATTGCAGTTAACAGTTTAGTGCCTTAAAGAACAAAGCCTTTATAATCCGTGTATAATTCTACTTTACCAAGTTAGTTATTTGATATTGGCAAAGTTCATCGTATTTGAGTCTCATCTGAAAATTGCACACATTGATGTTGCCTAAAAAGACTGCTTTGAGGATTCAAAACATTGGATCCACGGGTCAATGAACAGCAGTTACTTTTCTCATTTATTCACATTGCATTTTCAATTGTTGTCTCCCTGAGAAAATGTTTAGAGACGCTGCCAGGTCTCATCAGAAGCCACTTAATTTATGAAGATGGCTTGTTTAGGTTGTTTATGGTGGCTTTATTTGCATCCCCTTTTCTACCCAACCTCCTTAAACCCCTCTATCCAATCTCTCCTTTTGGGAGGAGATGCACCAACTTTCTATTCTGACTTTTTCTTTCCAGCTGCTTCCCGTAAGTTTGAAGTACTGAATATGCCTGTTCCTCAAGTTTGCTGGCAAGTTTTCCTTTTAGGGTTGATACACAGCCCTGCAACCAATCTATGGTCCAGTCCCTAGGAGATCAGGGTTGTCTTGTGAAGCCGGTCTGCAAATATCACCTTGAGTTCTATAGTCTGCAGAAGCCTCCAGTCTACTGTTTTCTAGCTCCAGGTTTTTTAAGGTAGTTGGACCTAGAGAAGAGGGAGCAGGTCTGTATGTTGAATGAGGTTTGCTATGTACAAAATGGAGTATCACAAAACCATTTCCTACTGTTCTGCATCCTCCACCCATATCCACTTAATTATCCTGTATCTCTTTCCTTTTTTCTTAAATATTACCACTTCAGGCAGCCCAGCATCTTCTCTGTAACTTAATTATTTTGCGTACAGAGAAATGATAAGATCAAGCAGGGATCCTGTGTCTTCTGAAGGCTAAGCTTTATGGACTCAATGATGTCACTACTAGGCCTCTTAAACTGCTTTGCACCAGCAGAGCTCAGTCAGTAACTATGTCATCGCCTGGATGTAGCTGAAGGGGGTCTGATCTGAACTGGTTTGTAGGAACAAGGGAATCCAGGTGCTTAGCCAACAGTTTCTGCTCTGTCTCTGAAGTTCTGTGTAAGGCCTTCTACAGGAGTCAGCATTCCCGTTTTACTTCCACCACCTCAGGCCTTATAAGCATCTACCTTTCATCTTATTGCCAGTTCTAACAGAAAAGTTCTGCATATTACCTGAAATAGTAACCTCAACAGGAAAGGCTCAAGAAACATGACCTAAGTCCTTCCACAGAGGCTGCTCTGGGAGGCATACGATAAGCCAGAGGTCATGTAGCTCTGTCCACCAATAGAGTCAGCTTGATGATCCATACTCCCTACTGAACTATCAACCAGGCCAGCACTTTCTCTGATATAACCTCCTTCTATTGCCTGGGATACCCAGTGACCTCTCAAGAGTCTCCAAAGGCCTTGAAGACCTCAAATAATGATCCTCTGAGTAAGAGCTTATATGCTATTAAATTAGGCCCTTACAGGATTTTCTTAGGGTGGACCAGGTTCTCCATACATTTATTTTTCTTTCAAATCTCATCAGAGCATCAAGTCTTTTCTCCTTTCCCCAAAATGAGATCCTGATCTGGAATGCTATTGTACTGAGTCTCAGCAGAAATCTCTAGGATGCTATAAATCCCTCTGTACTAATTGTGAACAGCACAACAGGTGGGCCTTTAGCTCTCCCTGCACCCAAATTGCTGGCTGTACTTTCTGGCCGACACCCACCCCATCCCCACCCTTCACTGTGTGGGGCACACCTTGGCAACCAGGCTGCTGTGTCCCGGAAGCGGGTTCCACCCAGGCTGAAAATCTCCGTGATCTAGGGAAGAATTAACATCATGGGTCAATATGGCTGGAGGGGCTAAGGCAAGATCAGGGCAGGGACTCGAGTCCCCCAGCACTGACCACGGGTGTCCCAGCCCCTCCTGCCTCCTCCTCTGGGGCCGATTCGGAGACACAGCCATCCTTGTTCTCCTCCTTTCCCTCCTCAGGGTCAGGTGGCTCTTGCTTCACAGGTGACAGGCCCGGGTCTACTGCCTGGGAGAAGTGGGAAAGGGCAGCAGTTAGAAGGACAGGGTTGGACTGAGGAAAGTCCCTATCAGTCAACCCGTCATTGTGACAGATCTTACTTCGTTCACAGTTCAGCACAGAAATGCCAGCTTGGGCCTATAATCCTTTACCATTCCTTACTGGTCTCCATTTTCCTTTTAGCTGGGCAGCAAGGTAGGCAAAGCTAGTTGCCTATGGATAACTATGCAGAACAGCCACAATCAGCATACCTGTCACTCACAATGCTACCATCACAGCTCACTAGCACTCTGCTTAAAGACCACCCATTATGGCACCAACAGAACATCTATCACTGCCCCCACCTTGCTAGGGCAGTCAGGCTGCAATGTGGGAGAAGTCAGGACGGCTGTGCCCGGTGTCCACTCTTCGTGGGCATCTGCCTTTTCTTGCTTCACCTGAGGTAAGGCCACAACCCAACTCAGGCCAGAGCACTGGGCCTCCTGCATGAGGGAGGATGGCAGCAGACATGGTCTCAGCTCCCTGGCAGGAGGCTGGGCAGCACTGGGAAGGAAGAGTACAGTGGGGGCCCTCACCTGCAGTGGAGCTTCTGTAGAAGCTGTAGCAGGACCCGGCACCTGCACAGGACTGCTGGCACCCTCCCGTAAAAACACAAGGTCGGTGCCAGGCGGAGGCAGCACAAAGCCACCACCAGCTTCCTGCTTCAGTGGAGCCTGGGCACGACCTGGTCGGGCTGTGCGCGTAGCCAAAGGGGACTTCAGAGTAGGGCCCGGACGGGGCCGGCGAGCAGAACCTGGCCTCTTTCGACGAGGGTAAAGTGAGGGTGATCCTGCCCACTCCTCAGACCCTGACCCGGTACTGGGCAGCAGCCGCTTCTGTAAGGAGAGATAGGGTACTATGGCCACCTAGTATCTTGACCAACCACACCCACCCTTCCCTGTACAGCGTGCCTGCTAACTTCCCATTAGTACCACAACAGAATTCCTTTATGTATCAGCCCTCATCATTGAGCCTGCCAGTCTCCCATTAGCAATGCCTGTGTAACCTAGGTTCACTCACCCCAGCATAATGTCTACCACTAATCCTTGGCAGGAGCCACTGCACCTCCCAACCACCTAACAGGACTGCCCACCACTCCCAGGCACAGGAGTACCTGGCCCAACCTATCCCATCCATTTGACCCTTCCTGCCCCACCCACCATGGCAAACTGCAGGCACTGGCGCCAACGACACTTCTGGCGCTTCTGGTTGCTGCCCCCGAATTTGGGCTTGTCGCAGCAGAAGTCGCAGTGGCCACAGTCCATCCGCCGTAGGCAGGCTGCACAGGCCCCGCACTTGCGGTTCTGCCGGCGGTTCGTGTAGGGCTGCTGGGCGGGGGGGAATGGTGGTGCTGTCACTAGGGCTAGGAGAGGCTATTCTCGATGCCCATTCCAGTTTTGTTCCTGGTGCTCCTTTAGTCCCACTGGGGGAACTAGGTGTACACTAGTTTCAGTTTGTTGACTTCCCATTTGTCACACTTCAGCATTGCTAAGTTTGACATTCACCAATATCATGGTGCCAGCTGGCCTTCAAAACCATTAGGACTGTGGCTGCTTCATCATAGTATCATCACAGTATCTGCTGCTCTTTCACCGGTTATCAGGACAATGTTTTTGACCCTACTTCCAGCAGGACTTTGTTAACCCTCAGTTAGCTCCTATCAATTGCTGGTTATATCTGCTCATTCTACATGAACACTAGTCACTAAGCTCCCTGCTCCTCTATCGGCTCCACCATTGGATCTGCTGGTCCTGTGTGACCACCAGTGTTGATTCACCTGACATTATGCATTATCGCTGTACCTGTTGATCCCATATTATTCCTTCCCTATTATTGTTCATCCTTATTCTAGTACCCTTTTCTGAGGCTTGTAGTGCCCCTATTAGGCCCATTACGGCAACTGCTTTTTTCGGGTTAACCAAGCATCTAGAATATCTAGGCTTAGCCAAGTAGGGTGGGGCCACTCACTAGCTCGTCCTCGTCTACCCAGTAATAGATGACTTCGGCAGGTGGTGAGGGCACCAGAGCGCTGGCATGCTGCAGAGGCAAACGGGGAGGGGTCAGGGTAGGTATTGGGTAAGGTTAGGGCTGTGCTTTCCCCCTGCCCATCAGGGCCTCACCAGTTCTGCAGGCTCTGGGGTCTCTGTTGCAGGAGGTGTAGGCAGTGCTTGAGCTTGAGAGTGCTGCTGGGCAACCATCTTGGAATCAGAGCCTCCCCTGCGACGGCCACGTTTACCCTGGGAGACAACCAAAAGAATTGTCAGGGCTTGGTACACCAATCAGATCCCCTGGGAATACAGAAAGCATGCACGTCAGGCCAGGCATAGTGGCACACCCATGCAATACTAGCAGTTGGGAAGCTAAGGCAGGAGGATCACATGTTCAAGGCCAGCCTTTCCCAGGGTAGTGAGACTCTTATCTCAAACAAATAAAACAAAAGCATGCATAAGACACGCAGGGACAGAACAAAGTGGGCACTCACAGCAGGGGGTGCCACAGCCAGGGGAGGGCGTCGCTGACATCGCTGGCGATGGCGACTGAGACGGTGAGCAAGGTGCTGGCAGACAAAGGCAGGTAGGCGGGGTCAGGAAGGTGAGTGTAAGATGGAAAAGAAAAGAAGATATGAGGTGGGCAATGCCAGGTTGAGAGGAAGCAGCAGTGGCGGTAACTTTTATAGCAGAATGAGCTCTGGCCCAGCCTTGGTCCCGCCAGTGCTGGCCCCTCCAGCCTGACTCACCCGAAGGCAGCGCCGCTGCACACACCTCCACTGGCGCCTAAGACCAGGGCGGGGAGGGCGAAGGCAGACTCGGCACCGGCCACAGTCCTCTTGGGTCTGACAGCCCCGGCACACTCCACACCCTCGGCTCTGTGGGGGGCCGAAGGCGTGATGCAAGGAGTCAGGGCTATGAGAGCCAGAAGCTGGGGTGAGCCTTGGGCCCACCCCACCTGCTGAACTCACCCTCTCCACAATCCGGAGGCAGCGTCTCTGTTCACACTTGCAGAAGAGCCCTGAGGCCACATCATGGGGCAGCTGCAAGAGGCAGGTGGAACAGGCCCCGCAGTCCTCGGTTACACGGCAGGCTGTACACTCTCCACAGCCCACACGCTGCCAGAAATGAGTGGCACAAGTCATAAGTCCAAGCAGGGTAGCTCCAGGACCCCATTCCTCCTGTCTGCTGAGCTCCTAGCACCAAGTCCTGTTAGTCTCTCATTAATCTGACCACTGTATCTTCTGATTACTGATTAGCCACCAACACTGAGTCTACAATGTCTAATGGTCCCATTAACTTCATGCCTGTATCTGTAGATAGACAACTTATTCTCTTTACTATGTCTGCTAACCAACCCATGGGTGGATCCCTAAAAAAGGACTCACATATCCAGTGGAACTATCACAAATCCTTCAGAACTTTTACTAGCCCTACTGCATCTTGCTCCCATTGCAGAGCTATGAGGAGAAAGCATACTGTTCTTACCTTAAACATCCTCTGCTCCCGGTTGAAGGCAATTCTCTGTGCTGGGAAAGGGAGGAGAAAAGTGGGAAGGTTAGAATAGATATCTAGCTTTACACGCTACCTCAGCTCAACTGGCTACCACCATTCAATCTCTATCCTCATTTCATACTTCCTGAATCCAACCTCCAACCATGCCAATAGTCTGTCCTGACACACTCTAGTCAACCACCAACCTAGCCTGACCCTGGGCCTTTCCCAACTTCTGTCTTCCAATGTCCCATCCCCTAAGGGGGCCAGCCACCTCTGCAGTCCTTGCACAATGTTTTGAGCCGCTGTCTTCCAGAACCATCCCCTGAGAAGCTGATTCCACAGTTCTCACAGCACCTGCAATGGGAGACAGGTGTGGGGCCCTAAGAGCTCTTCTGGTTTCAACTCTCCTACTGGCTCAACTTAGGCCAATACTCACCCAGGCGCAGGTAATGCAGTGGCTGGCTCAGCCTTGTCAGTATCAGTCTTGGTTTCTTCTTCTCGGGTCTCTTTCCTGATCTTACTTTTCTGGGGTCCAACAGGACTTTTCTGGGGTTCAACATGACTTTTCTGGGGTCCAACATGACTTTTCTGGGGTCCAACATGACTTTTCTGGGGTCCAACATGACTTTTCTGGGGTCCAACATGACGTTTCTGAGCCTTGGCTGGCTTTGAAGCCTTCTTTCGTTTCTTACTGGGCACAGGCACAGAACGAGCCTGGAGATGAGGGTGGGGACAGGAAGAATATGTGTCAGCATATGGATGTTAGGAAGCAGAGCCAACCTTACCCTGGATACCCCACATTATGAAGTACCTTAGGGGATGAATAGCACAAGATGCCTTGTTTGAAGTCGAAAAGGCTGAGATCACACGAAGGGCCCAGGTATCGGGTGAGTTCAACTTTACTTCGGATCCTATCTCCTGTGGGGCTGGGGATGGGCCAGGATGAGTTGGTACCTGGGTAGAGCCAATGCCATTCTACCCATTCAACCTTCCCACACTTAGTGGAATACAAGAAGCAATCTGGAATGGCCCTGTGAGGCCCACTCTGGTTCCACCCCAACTAATCCTGAGTAATGGAAATACAAATAAAATATGACAACCTGTATAGAAACATAGTCATGAGCTGTACAACGTTTTGGTCAATGACAAACTACATATTGTATGGCAGTCCAATAAGATAATACAGCTAGGGCTGGGGATTTAGCTCAGCGGCATAAGTGCCTGCCTTGCAAGCAGGCAGTCGTGAGTTCGATCCCTGGTACCGATAAAAACAAAAAAGCCAAAAAAAAAAGATAATACAGCTAAAAATTATTGTCTATCAACACTGCTGTCATGTCATAGCACAATGTGTTACATTCTGTGTTGAGGCTGATGTAAACCTGTGCTAATAGAAGTATAGCAAATATAACTATATATAGTTCATAATGCTTGATAAAATAAGTGATTACTGGTTTATATATTTACTATATGCTTTTTATCACTTGAATATATTCCTATTTATAAAAAAAATTTACCATAAAGTAGTATGCCATGTAAAACAGGCAGCAGTTTTATTCAGCTCATGTTTACTACAAGTTTTAATTTCATCAGTTTCTCTAATTCTTAATTTTGTTTTGTACATCACAGCCCAAGGAGTAAAAGGCAATAGTGTATACATACATGTGTGTACATACATATGCCACATGTTACGATCAATGGTGAAGTGAATATATAAAAGTGGTCTCAGAAAGTATCTCCAGTGACGGTACTAGCTGTCCTAGTCTGTATAAGTACATTCTATAATGCCTGCGTAATGAAATTGCCTGCCCTGTTCTTTAGGACACATCTCTGTCCTTAAGCAGTGCACCGCTGTATCATCTATATCACCTAGCTGGTGTAATTACACTGTGATGTTGGCACAATGAGTACAATTAACAATGCATTTCTCAAAATGTATTTTGGCTGTTAAAAACAACATATAACTATATAAATGCCAACAGCTAGAAATGATAGTACAAACCTGTAATCCTAGCTATTTGAGAAGCTAGAGGAGGAAAAACGAGTTTGAGACCAGTCTGGGCAACATGGTCTCAAAAATACATTAAAAAACAGAAGCTCAGGTGCAGTGGTGCACATATATAATATCAACTACTTGAGAGAGGCGGAGGCAGGAGACTGACTAAACACAGGAGTTCAACATTGCCCTGAGTAATAGTCTGACTTATCTTAAACAAAAAAGAAAATTGAGAGACCCTAGGAACCTTTTACAGCCAAGTGCTCAAACTACAACTCAAAACCCACTTATCTATTGCAAAGTGCCCAGACTACAACTAAACCTGAATACCTCAATTTTAGTTTAGAATAAACAACTCATCCATTACCATCTTTTATCTTAAAAGAAAAACAAGTAACACACATAGGTTTGCTACCACTGCCATAGGAGCTTCTGGGGCTACAGCTCAGTGGCATGGTGCTTGCCTAGATGTGCAAAGCCCTGGATTTGATTTCCAGCAGCCAAAAAAAAAAAAAAAAAAAAGAAAGAAAAGAAAAGAAAGAAAAAAAGAATGTTAAAAACTTTTAGAAAAATAAATGTAGAGAGTGTAGTTCTTTGGAAGAGTGCCTGTCTAGCAAGCACAAAATGCTGAGCTCAATTCCCAGCACCAAAAAGGAGAAAAAAAAGACCTATTTACAACACAATACTATTGAAAATATTTTATATAAAAACACAAATGAGAACATATCAAATAATTTAAAATATGTAAGCATTTCATAATCAAATCAAGAAAATGTATAACAAATGTGTAAAAATATACAAAAATGTAACTACATAAAATATAAGTATTTGACAATGGGAAAAAAATATAGCCTGGATCTATTAATTTCTGTGTAAGGTATTGATTGTCCTTTATAATAAACAATCTTTTTCTTTTTCAAGAACATTTGTAAAGCAAACTTTGGAAGATAAAAGATGGGATCTCCTTGCAAAGCAAAAAGAAAGCATATTTACTATCCTAATAATAAAAAAGGTTTAATTCCATAAATTCAATTGTTTCCCTGTAATACAATCTATTTTTATTTTACATGCAGTACATGTTACTTGACCCTTTTCATGTCACTAGGTGGAAACTGAGATTCAAGGTATCAGCACAAAAGTGTGACACCCTGTATCTTGCTAATGGTGCAATAAACTGTTTTCCATCTCTGACGGAACTCTCATATTTTCTACCAGCATCCACAGAACTATCATGAATGTACTTGTCTAAGATAAATTCTCAGATCCCATACAAGTTCTAAATGTTCTATACATACATGTAAGTATGTTTAAAAGTTAATTAAACATAAACAAAAGTTTTTATGGTTCTACAACATTCCTTTGGGAAATGGCAACTTTGATGCAAAAAGGAAACAGTATAGAAAGTTTAATAATTGTACCGCTACTGTGTCTAAAAATACATGTTTATAAACGTTTTTTATACTTACAGTCGATTCATATTATTCATGATAGCTACGGTTCTTAATGCTACCACGAACCCTGAATTAGTGAACAAGGAATTAACGTTCCAGGAAAAACACAAGCTTAAGTTACAACAAATCATTGGTCACATTTTCTTTAACTCATCAATGCATAAATTGTTTCAAGTATTTGTTTAAAGATACTTATCTTAATCTATGTATTTTTATAAATGATTGCTAAGTCTCTAAACGATTCAAAACCAGGAGTTTTGGAGGCTGTTTTGTCATATCGGTTCATCTGCCAATGTCCTCACCAAACAAGTCACACTCACTGGCATTGAAAATCTATTAAAAAACTCTTTTATCCTGTACAACATGAAGCAAATACTTTTATGCCTTTTCCCCACAGGTAACTGATCTATACCTGCATAGTATGTAAGTTTTTTGCCATATGATCTTTTGAAATATGCCGACCAGCAATAGCTGAGATAGGCTTATATTTTCCTAATACTGTAACATTTTTTGCTTTTCTCATAATAATGTTGTCCAAAATGCTTTACTGTTTATTTTATGGCTCCACAAATTTAGCTGCTTTTTCATCCTTCCCACAGCTTGATCAAGTAATACAGATGTTACTTTTTGTACTTCCTGAGCAGCCTCACATACATTGTGGCAAGTTTCCACTTTGTTTTCTGGATGTACCACATTTCTGATTGGTAACACTGCACTCACAGGTAACAATATTACCACTTTTGCTCAAATGAAGCTTATCTGACAGGTATTTTCTCCAGGTACTTCATTCTTTACCAGTCACTTTAAATAGCAAAATCACAAGAAAAACACACAAAAATGAGAAAAAATATGGCACTACCTAGAACACATAAAGGATGCTTATTTACAATACGAAAGCTGACATAAAAAGGTCTTATTTAATGTGACTGGAAATATGTGATTGGGTAACTCAAATTTTTAACTGCTCTGTGTGTCTGTGAATAACCACGAAAGTACCATATTAACTTTGGTCAAATAAATTTTATTAAGTAGGTGAATTTTCAAATATGAAATCTTTTGAATAATGAGCATTAACTATGGGCAAAATTTAAAGTCTACCCATAAATTTAACCAGTTTCTTTTAACCTGCAGCTAACCAGGCTCAAACCCTCCCCTGACTCTGCCCACACCCACCCAGTACCTCTGGTAATAGGTGTCTGAGCGTCCACAGGTGGCCCCTGACTTGCGATAGACTTCACGTCGCTTCCAGCCAGGGCCCAGAGCTGGGCAGTCCAGCCAGTCCTCAGCCATGGAGACCTCAGAAAGCAGCAGCAGCCTGCAAAATGGGGAAGGGTGGGATATGGGAGAAACTATGGCCCTAGAGAGGGGTGGAGAAAAACTGAGACTCTGGAAAGGGTAAACTGTCCCAGTCCACAAAAATCATTGGCATCCTTTCATTCTCTAAAACCTAACACCTGCCAAGGGGAACCAGCGCATCTATGGGAGAAAAAAACCCATTCCCTCCCTTATTTTTCCCTATCCTGGATTCAGGAGTTCTTCGATCCTCCTGAGAATCAGTCACTTCTTCCCACCACCAAGACCCTTTTATTGTTCTCCCTCATTCCTACCTGTCGTCGGCACAGGAGACCCTGCCTGACTTTAACCTAAGAGATCCTATCTTTTCCTTGTCACCCTAACACTCTCATAGTTCTCATCTTCAGCCTGAGAAGACTCATTTCTCTGACCTCCTATTCCTCTTCTTTTTGACCCTAGAGTTCCAATTTTTCTCTTTCAGGATTTTAACTGTCCCACTTCTCCTCCAGTATGATATCCCCACAATTATCCTGCTGTTGCAGTATTATGACTTCCACTTCCCCCTGTGAGCAAGCCCCCTGCTCCGCCCCATCACTGCCTTGAACAGCCCCCTCATTCTTCCTATTCCTCAGTCTGGAAACCTCCGACATCTCCTTGTCACAGCTCAAAAGCTGCCCTATTCTGTTTCCGTTCCTTCAGCGTTCTGATCCACAACTGCCCCAATTTCTGCCCCTAACCCTCTCCACTCTTCCCTTTATAGCCAGAAAGTTATCCACGCTTCCCCTTCAATGTTTTCATCCTCCATTCCTCTTACCCGCCCGAGAACCCTGACTTCTCTTTCAGCACTCCACACTGTCCCCACCTCCCTCACCGTCCCTGTCCCAGGATCATGACACCTCTGCCGGGCTTCTGATGCTCTATTTATGCTCCATATGAGTCCCCATTTCTCTCTGTCAGCAGCCTAAGTACCCCTTATTTTTCCCTCTGAGCATCATGAACCTCCACTTTTCTCCCAACTTAGCCCGGTGTCTCCCCTGCACTTTCTAATCTGCCCCATTCCACTCCGTCTACGCTCGAGACCCTGATACGCCCACAGCATTCTGAGCCACATTCCATCCTGTCCTCAGTCTAACTCCTTCTGTTCTTCCCTTTTAATGTGCCGAAGCCGCCATTCCTCCACCTCCTCGGCCTGAGGGCCTTTCATTCCTCCCGTCAGCGTTCTGAGCCTCAACTGCTTCCTACCCTCGGCTGAGCGCTCACCGCTCCTATGCCTGTCTCACCAGCTTGGCACCGGGCCGTAGCTTCCGCCGCTCTAGGGCCTCGGACCCATGGTCAGGGTCCCGCCCGCCCGCGCGTCCCGCCTAGCTCTACTGTTCTTCCTCCGCTGCCGCCTCCTCGGAAACGGTAGCAGTCTCCGCCGCTGTTCGTTGCTCCCGGAACCGGAAATCCGTTGCCTGCCTCCCAGGCTCCGCCCCTGATGTGAAACCTGGGCGCTGCATTGGCGGTGCTTGCCCCTACTGGAGAGGCCGCGGCGCCCAAGTGCTGAAGCTCCACAACGGCGCGCGCCCTTTGCGTGCTGCGCCTGCGCACTGACTGCAACCGCGGTTTGCGCCCCGCGTCGGCGGTGGGAGGAATGGGGGTAATTGTAGTGCCTTCGCTGCGTGCTTTCCCAGCTGGTGCGTCCTCCTCAAGCAATCCAGTCTCAACCTAAGAGGGTGTGGATGGTGTGGTTTGCACCCATATCACACCCTATGATCCTTGTCTCCACGAGTAGTTGGAAGCACCAGCCAAGCCTGGCGCCGTCCTTGAGCACCTCCCTAACCCAGCTAACACTCCCTGCCTGCCCTGGGGGGCACGCAACCCCTAAGTTAGAGTCCCACTTAGTGTCCTGCCTTCTTCCTGCGTGGCTCCAGCTTCTTCTGCGGGAACCAGGTCGGGGCACAGGGAGGCAGGGGAGACGATGGCACACTACAGGTAGACTTAGGGAGGGGGTGGTCGTGCCCCAAAGGCCATGCTGTGCACCTCAATGGGAAAGGGTGGGGTGCGGCTCCCCGCACAAGCCTAGTGGACTTGTGAAAACGCATCCCTAACCTAGGGAAAGACAGCTCCACGCAACTCGGCCAGCACAGGGGAGCCAGTTCACTGCAGGTATTAGTGCTGACCCACAGTCACCACTACCCCCAACAGGAAGCTGCACATAAAGGTCACTGGGCTTATCTCCCTTGACAGGTCAGACCCCACAGCCCAAGGAAGCAGAGGGGTGCGAACTAGATACTCACAGCCTAGCGCACTGCGGCCCTCCTGTGCACAGGTGTGCCACTGCCATCTTACGCTGGGGCTGACAATACAGTTGCAACTGCAGCAAGCATGAAGACCATCAGGAGTTATCTTCCTTTGTTCTTCAAAATTTTATTAACAAAATGCAGGGTAGGGGAAAGCCAAGGGTGATTAGACTCCATTGTCCCACCCAGGCACAGAGAACAGAGAAACAGAGGAGACACTGAGGAAAATTCTGAGAACCTTTTGAAAGGGCAAGTGGGCAGTCAAAAGGTAGCTAGGTACAGGGAGAGAAGGAACAAAAGGGGCCTCAGGGCCACTCTCCCGACTGGAATGCAGGATGTGAGGGGCTCTGGGCTGGTGAGGCTCAGCGGTCAGCACTAGAGCGCAGGTCGGTAGTGAGTGGGTCATGCTGGATCGTTTGGTGCAGCATTAGGGCCAGTAGCCCTGCCCGGTTTGTCATGGCCGTCCGTACATTGCGCTCCTGCTCAAATAGCTCGTCCAGCTTGTACCACTGCCAAAGAGTGGAAGGAGCCATGAGAAACAGCTCCGGTGGCTCCCCCAACCCTTGCCAGCGTCAACACCTACCACCCGCACACGCTCCAAGTCCACTTCTGCACGCCGAAGCTTTTCCCAACAGTAATGGCGATTGCACTGGCGCTTGGGTAGGCGGCAAAAGTCACCCGTGAGCTCAAAGACATCACGTACCAGAGGGCACCCACATACCTCGTCAGCGGGCACCTGTAGAGAACCCAAGAGCAGGATGAGTAACAGTGGCAAGGGTGAAGGAAGCATGGGGCAGTGCTTACAGAGAGAAGGAGCAGAATTCTGGGACAGGGAAATGGGGAAGAATAAGAGGTGATTCAGGAAAGGAATGAAAGTTGTCAATTAGGAGAAAGGAAGGGAAGGAAAATGAGATAGGGAGAGGCAGAATAGGGTGAATTAAGGGAAAACCTTACTTTGGGGTCCCGTGAGTGCTCGGGGCATAGCACCTGGAGCCGCTTACAGTATGTTTTGCTCTGAGGATTATAGACATCACAGAAGAGTCGGGTGGCCCTAGGAGTTTAGAGATGGTAATGGAGAGTAAGAAGAGGCCCACCCTTCCTTGCTCATGCCCATTTCCTGTCTCAGCTCCACACATATTCCATTTCTATCCCCATCCTTACTCCCTTCCTTTAACTGCCTATATCACCTTCACTCACCCTTCAATGCGTGTAGGGTACATGGACCCAAAGGACGTCTGGCTCTCATACTGGAGGGTTGAACAAAAATGAAGGTGATTGTGAATGCATGCTGCATGCCCTCCCAAGACACAACCAAAACAAAACATCTGTCCCTTATTGGTCCACTAATATCCCCACACCATTCACCCCCTAGGCTAACACCCTGACCTTGGCATAGCAGCGCTCCATGTGGCGCAAGGCAACACGTGGGTTGATAGGGTGCCCGCAAGAGACACAGAAGATCTGTAAGTCTGTATCATCACTGTCATTCTCATTGCTCTGCATGGGGTAGAAGGAATGATAAGGCCAGGTGTGACCAGGTGATTGACCCTGCCCTGCTAGGACCGTGTTTCCTAACCTCCTCATCCTCTCGAACAGCCTGCTGCTTGGCACGCAGAATGATGGCCTCGAGCTCATGGAATCTGCGTTCCATTTCCTGAAGGCGGGTACGGGCACTCTGCTGCTCACGGCGAATGCGTTCTAGTAGCTTTTTGCCGTGCTCTTCAGCAATGCAAGGGCTCTGTTGCCACTGCTGGATGCGCTGGGGCAGGATTTCATAGATGCGGCTGCAAAGAGGCAAGAAAGAAAGGTAGCAATTAACAAGATGGATTATGAGTTGGTGAAAGGATAATAGCTGAACAGTCAAATGGTAGGTGGATGGATAGATGGACAGATACGTAGACAGGGTGACCATCCAAATGCTGGATAGGTGACTGACTGGTAGATATACACAGGGGCTCTGCCCTACTCTGTACTTCCTGACTCCCCTCCAGCTCCAAGAAAGACTCACTTGGCTGCCAGCTTCATGCCACAGTCATCTGAGCAATACTTGGAGCCTGGCTGAGCAGCACGCACACAGCCAGGTCCCAGGCACTGTGGTAGTGACGCAGGGTCCTTGGCATCAGCCCTCTCTGGGTGTTTCCATTTATCCTTGTGTTTCTGTTTCTGCCGATGCCGCTTATATCTTTCCTCCTTCTGTGGGAAAAGACAAGTGAGGTCACAGTGGAAATCAAGAATCATCCTCAGACCCTCTCCATTCCAACGTTTTCTGGCTCTTACCCCATCCAACCCTGGACCTCTACATCTCCCACTCCACCCTGCTCATGCCTTCCCATATCCCTTTTACCCTCTCCATCACCTTCTTCTCAGACTTCTTCTCCCGACGCTTTACATGTTTCACTTTCACTGCTCTCTTCCTAAGTGCAGGGTCCAGGAATGGAGACTCTTCTGTGTCACTCATCCAGGGCTGTAAGCAGGGTGTGCAGTGACTCACCTGCCCCATTTTGGACAATCCCGCCACTTACTCACTTCCCAAAGCAACCCTGCATACTCTCTGCATTTCTCTCTCTCTCCTTAAGAATCTCTGCTTCTACAATCTTCACCTTTCTACTAAGGGAGGTTACTGTGCTTACCAGGCCATGGTCATCAAAGGCCCCTGCACAGAAATCTTGGTACAGGTCAGGATCGAGTGTTAGGTCCTCATCTGAGAGTGGCTCAGGTGTGGCTGTAGCCTCAGGTGGTTCCTTGACGGTGGATGATGCCACTGCCCCCTCATCTTCACGGATGCGGCCCAGCTTCTGTGATGGCTGTGGCTGCTGTTGAGTGGGCGGTGGCCGGCGGGGCCTTGGCAAGGACTCTGAAGGTGTCACCGGCGAGAGCTGCAGGGCAGAATCTCAGGACTGGCCCTGACCGCCCTGCCCGCATGCCCTGCCCCGCCCTGGGGGGCTGGACTCACCGAGGAAGGGAAGTACTTGTACGATTCCTGTGCCGGCAGGAGGAAGGCCTAGGTCAGCCCCAGATAGATGGAGGGTACCCCTGCCCTAGCCCCACCCTTTTCATTTTCCCTTGACACGCCTGTCCCCATAGCCCTCACCATCAGGACGTGTTCATTTTTGCCTACTGTGTCCTGACATGCCCAACAACCTACACACACCTGTGCCTACCCTGCTCATCTAGGGTTCAGGGGTTCTTCTGCCAGCCCAGCATATTTAGTAATGCAACATTCATCTATACATGCTAGGCCCTTTCCTCCTGCTTAGATAAAACCAGGCTTCGTCCCACCTGGTCCCACCATTCCTTAATGGCCCTACCAGGACCTCCCATCCATGTATTCCCACCTGACCCTGACCAGTTCTGTCCATGCTCACCCGGGCTCGCAGCTGGCACTGGCGCAGCCGGCACTTCTGCCGGATCTTGTTTGGGCCTCCAAACTTCTTCATGTCACGGCAGAAGTCACAGTGGCCACAGTCCTCTGTACGCCGGCAGGCCTCACACTCACCACACATTCGGGCTGACCTTTTGATCTGCTGTTGCTGCTGGTGATGCTAAGAGATGTCACCCAGTATACAAATCAGGAATTTAGGCATGGCCTAAGATGGGACCACTATACTCACCCCAACCACTGCCACTCACCTGACTAGGTGTGGCCACTAAGGGCTGTGGAGAGGATTTGTGGGGTGAAGCAGAGCCCCGAGCAAGCATGGCCCCAACCCCTGTCCCTGATCCTGCCCGGCGCTGCAGGTCTGGATCTGGGACAGGCCTCTTGCGCCCTCCACCCTCATCCCGGGGCTCACTGCTGTCCCGTTCATTGCCATCCCGCTCCCGTGACTTTTTGTGCCGATAGCGAATCTCCAGCTTAGGGTCCTTCTCTGTGGGGTAAAGGGATAGTTGGTCTGGAATGGTGGCCTTTTTTTTTTGAAAGTTTCATTATATGTAGTTCAGGCTGGCTTTGTACTATGTAGTCCAGTCTGGCCTTGAACTCTCAATGATCCTCCTGCCTCAGCCTCCTGAGTGCTGGGATTACAAGTGTGGGCCATCACATCTAGTGAAAAGGGACAGATGACACATTGGCTTCAACTGTCCCAGAATCCTCCCCTCTCTCTCTCTCTCTCTGAGACTATGCAGTACAGACTGGCCTTAAGCTCCCTTTGTATCCCACGATGGTCTTGAACTCAAAATGATCCTCCTGCCTCTGCCTCCCAAATGCTGGGATTACAGACATGTGCCACCACACCCAGCACAG